CGTCATTCACTTCATGGCTGTTGCGGGACTTTGGTGTACGCAAATTCAATGCCACATTTTCATACATATATATGCGTTACACTTTACAGTAAAAATACTGGAACGATATTGGTGACCTGATAAGGCACTTTATCAAATGCAAGATGATTACTTTTTGATCCCCAAAGGTAACCAAACAAAAACTCCAGAATATTAATCCATCCCCAAACCTCCATTATTGACCCTTGCCTCCCTCCCTACACAGATAACATCTGCTAATTTCAATAGCATAGAAATCATTGTGGAGTCATATGCAGTTTGCACAAATCGTGATATCCTCAATATTGCTCTTAACCAGATACCTATCCAGTTCTTTGTTTGAAGGTGTTAACAGAGCAGCAATTAATGCTCTAAACAGTCTGCTCTAAACACGCACTATTCAGAGAGAGAAACAAAGTTTGTTATAATTATTCAGTTAACATCAAAGTTTGTTCTTTTAAACCTCTCTTCTAGCTCTATGTTCCAGTCTGAGTCAAACATATACGAAAACATAGCACCACATTGAGACCAAGAAAGAACTTGTATTTTCATAACACTTTATCACTTCAAAATATCTCAAAACTTGTCACAGAATATTACGGTCAAATGTTTTTCTAGGCAAACGCACAGCCAAGTCCCACAAACAGCAATGAGGAGAATGACTACTCAATCTGAAGGGCCAGTTAGTGTGATGGACTCTGATGTCGCCTGGCCCAGCACAGAGCTATTTCCAAGCTTTTCACAAAGGATTGAGCTGTTGCTAAGTAGCTGTTTGCTAGTGTCTGCTTTTCTGTGACACAGAGGCCTGATCTGAACTTAAGTCCGTAATAAGCTAAATCCATCACGAACAAGAGAGAAAAAAAGTCACTGACTTCAACAAACTAATTACTCTGTACCAGGGCAGGTGTCTGTACTCACCATATGGTATCGGGTTAGTCCTCAGGGAGGGCACAGTCTGAGAGAGCCACTTTTAATCCTTGTGCTAATTGTTTTTATCTTTTTTCTCTCTCACTCAGTTTGATGATTTTCTGCAGATCAGTGGATTAGTAGCTTATAGATATTGTATGATTAGGTCTGCTGGTGATCCCATTGCCCCAGAAAGACATCCATATCTGATGACGTTAGGGTAACCGCAAAGATTGGCATGGCAATATATGTCCACAAACATTTTATTTATTGATGCTTATGCGATGTCCTCTTTAAAGAAAATTTCATTTCAATTTCCCCTCTTCTGCTGAAGGCGTTACTCATGATGGGGGACAGTTTCACAGGCTTCCTCTCGTACCTCCTCAACAGGGTGTGAGCCCAGACAGTCATTGACGTCAGGTTATTTGACTTTATATCCTAACCTGAAGTCTAGACATATATACAACTTCCAATGGAGAGGACACAGGATAGTGGACAGGAGTGCTGCAACATGGTTCGGAGACAAACTGGAGAACATCAGATTAATATCTTACAGCAATATAGAGAAAGGGCTATATTCTAAGCAATGAACATAGCCCTAGTAACCCCAAGTCAAGGTTTTTTTTTTGGTCAGCCGGGTGTCTCACACATCTCAGTGGTTAGAGCATTCACCTCGCAAGCGAGAGACCTGGGTTCAATTCCTGGCAGGGCAAAATGTTGGGCAGTTTCCTTACTCCACACGCCTCTGTTTATCTTGCAGTAAATAAGAACCCAGTTATTAGTTGATTGGCAGATTGCTTTTCCAGGGGTAATAAGTCCTTTAAAAAAAATTGGTCACTCAATCCATGACTGTTTGTGGGACACTGCTGGGTGCAATTGGCTGCCGCATTTCGCCCACAAAATATACAGTCAATTAACTTTACAGTATATTTTGTGAAGTGCTTTGAGACATCTTGAAGATGTGATAAGACGTTATATCAAATGCAAGTATTATTATTATTATTATTATGTCAAGGTTCTGAGGGAGAGCAGCAGAAATGAGATAAAAGCAGGCACAAGGAATTAACAATACACAGATGGGCACACACCACAGCCTTAAATAACTTTGTGGTATTCACAAACTAACAAACCCAGCATGAGGTTCAATACTACTATTCAAAACAGATGAAAGGAAAGATGATTTTAAATTTGAGTGAGACATTGGGAGAATTGTAAAATTTTAAGTTTTCTCCAGCTCTCTCTGAGTGGGTGCCACCCACATGCCTTGCAGGGGCAAGGATATGAGTCAGGTATGGAGAGGGTAAGTGCAGGGGAGGGGGCTAAAGTGTGTATCCAGGACTGTAAGAGTGTGAGAGCCAAGAGAGCAAGCAGGGGGATGGATTTCAGAGAGTCAGTGAGCGAGAGGGTAGAAAGTGCTGCGTTGTCCTGTTAAGTCCATATACAAAACAGAATGAGAAAGAAACTGGCAAATAAGACGTTTTTTAAAAAAATCATCAGTCACTCTGTTAAAGAGTATCCAAACCAGTCAAAGTTATAATCCGAGACAGCATTAGGCACAGGTTGGCAAGAGCCAAGACTTAAAGCCTAGACTGCGTAGGGCACTGTTGGGAGTTTAACCAGCTAACAACACGTAGCTTGTCATTGAGAACACTCGCTAGCAAACTTCCCACTGCTTATCCAGATAGGAACACCCTACATGTTAGGGTTTGAGCTTATAGCATTAAGAGAAGCTAAGTTGGAAAAGTCCCTTCCTCCAATAACAGGTCTGTGCCTCCAAGTCCTGCCAATAAGCCAACTTAGCTTGTCTGTCATCAGGAGTGCCTTTGACTACTGCAGGCCCATCTAGTTCAGGAACCAGGCTACTCCGCAACAGAGTTAAACATTATGTTGCCACACAACAAGATTTCATTTACAGAGCGCCTTTCACGTCGGGAGGTCGTCCCAAGGCGCTGGACAGTTGGGTCAGGACCCGAGCAGGGGGGAAATGGTCAGGGTGAGGGAAGGGAGGGAGCGACGTGGGGGTAGAGAGTCGAGAGGGGAGCTGAAGGCACAGTCAAAGAGAAAGGTCTTGAGACTGGCCTTGAAGGAGGAAAGGGAGGAAGCGAGGTGAAGGCATTGGGGGATGGAGTTCCAGAGCCTAGGGGCTGAGAGGCTGAAGGCTCGGCCACTGATGGTAGGGCGGTTGGGGCGGGGATGTGGAGCAAACCGGAGCCAGAGGAACGGAGGGTACGGGCAGGTAGGTAGGGGGATAGTAGGTCGGAGAGGTAGGAGGGAGCAAGGCCGTGAATGGCCTTGTAAGTGAGGATCTTGAATTCGATCCTCTGGGGGATGGGAAGCCAGTGGAGATGAGCGAGGGTGGGAGTGATGTGGTCGCGAAACCTGGTGAGGGACAGTACACGAGCTGCAGAGTTCTGAATGACCTGCAGCTTGTGGAGGGAGGTGCCGGGAAGGCCGGCGAGGAGAGAGTTCCCATAGTCCAGCCTTGAGTTGATAAAGGCGTGGACCGGAGTTTCAGCAGCGTGAGGGGTGAGGTAGTGCCGTAGTCTGGTGATGTTTCGGAGGTGATGGAAGGCGGTGCCAGTTGTGGCGCGGATATGAGGAAGAAAGGACAGCTCAGGGTTGAACAGAACACCGAGGTACCTGACTGGCTTTGAGAGGTGGAGAGTGCAGCCTTGGATGCTGATGCTGTCAACGCCTGAGGTGCGGAGGCGCTGACGTGAGCCAATCAGGAGGGCCTCAGTTTTGTGCACGTTGAGCTGAAGAAAGTTGTCTCTCGTCCAGGACTCGGTGTCAGACAGGCAGGCTGTCAGGACATCGGTGGTCGTGGAGTGCAGAGCCAGATCAGCTTCACAGAAACCCCGCTTACTTCCCTCTCAGCAAGGATAATCGCAAATAAGACAAGACAGAGACACGGAGCAAAGCATTAGGAGTAGAGGAGAAAGATGAAGAAGAGGGAAAGATACCAGGAGACACGGAGGAGGAGCAAAACTGGGAAAAGAGACTGGAGAAATTTGACAGTGAATTTGAGTGAGACAGAGGCAAAAACGGATAAAAAACCAAAGAAGAGTAGAAGCTCGTGCGAAGCATCAAATCCCAAATATTAGCTTATGTCCTGGTTGAGATATCAATGAACCTGTTGTGGATTTCCAGTATTTTCTGTTTTTAATTTGGGGACTGTGAAAAGAGTTGGGAGTCGGAATTCAACACAAAACACAGCAAGGCAGTGAGTGACAAGAGAGATTGCTTCGGTTGAGCAGCTAGTTGCTCAGTAGGTTTCCCAGGAATGAGGACTGCCCAGAAATAATGAGCAGAGAATGACCCTCTGGTTTGGCTTCATAATTTATAGAGTGTGTAGACTGCAGAATTTAGTGAAAGGTAAATAAGGCTATTAAAAATTCAATGAAAAGGTGTCATCGAAACGCTTCTCTTCCGCAACAAGGTAGAAGTCAGCAGAGACATGGGCAGAGATCGAGGTACCTGCACATCAGCACCAAATACATTCAGCATAAAGTCGCAGAGACAACATAAGCCACTGAAAGGCAGGACACAAATCGCTGGCTTCGGAAATTAACACTTCTACTGCAGCCCATGATATAAACACAGCCAGTTTTTTAAGGCTGGGGCTGAGTGTACAGTTTACGGTGCTCAGGGAATTCAGCACCTTTTTTTTTAATTCTTCATGGCCTGATTGATGGATTGATCCACCTTTGCATCGGCAGTAAAGATTAAGAGACTTGGCGAATAGGCATCTGCGTGCAACAGCCTGCAGGGCAAGCTAATCTGTGTAGGGTTTAGGAGCCCCGGTGGCTGGGAGAGGAGCTCATTCCCAGCCCGACTCTGCAGGACAGCAGCACCAGCAGAGGGATCACACAGTGTGCTCCTGGGGCAACTCTGAGCACCGCTTTCCTGAGAAGAGGTGGACTTTTATCTTTTGAATCTTCGCAGCATTCTCACATCGACTCCATCCCCACCACTACCACCGAGGGCTTGTGTTTCTCGCTGCCCCTCTGACTGGTTTGGGAGGAATTTCCTGTTTTCCCAGCTCAGCCCACTTCACTCCTCCTCTAGAAACTGCGATGTCAAGTTCCCCCGTGGAGTCAGAGGGCAGCCCAGAGCTGGAGGACAACCAAGCAGGTATGTGGAGTCAGACCCAGGCAGGCAGGTGTGTGTGTGAGAGAGAGAGAGAGAGAGAGAGCCAGGCGAGCAGACAGGTATCTGAAAGACCACAGGAAGCCAATGCCAGAGGGAAAGAGTCAATTGGTGCCCAAACTGAGCTAGACACACTCCAAAATAAGGAAATTAGTTAAGATTCCTGGAGGGCAGGTTTCAATTTTTTAATCCAATAGCTTTAATGGATAAAGACACTACCTAGAGTGGTGCAAAGCCAGAAGTTTGTAGGGGCTATGTTGGTCCATTCTGTGAGTTGATAGTTGGGGCAATACAATTCACCACATGGGCTTTAGGATGGATAAATTAGCCTGGGTCCCTGATCCTTAGCTAGTTATTGCAGCTGGAAGGTACCTGGGTGAAGTAAAGTGAGATGGAGGTCTTTATCTGATGAGTAGCAAATTTGGGTTAAGGATTTTTTTTAAATTGATATAAAACTTGGGAGTCATTCTCTTCAATTACATTGAAAAATAGCGATGCTCTTTTGACAATTTGAGAACAATTCTTTTCATTCACCTCACTAAAATCTCAATTTAAAATGCCAACGTTAAGGTCAATTCTGATTTGAAAATGTATTTGAATTAGCAATACAGTTGGCATGGCTACAGGTGCTATCAGGCTCGTGTCTCTTGGTGATGTTGTATTAGATTTGATCAGCTCCTGTCGTGTGAACCCATCAGTGCTTTCAGCCACGACGCACCAAAGCTTTGGAACTCTCTCCCCCAACCCCTCCGCTTTGCTCCCTCCTCCCCGCTTTGAGATCACAACTGCAGACCTTCCCCTTCGACTGTGGTTATGGTCATCTACTCCCTCCCCCCGTCTCTACCACTGATAAGTGCTCTGAGATGCTGCCCCACATGTAGGGCGCTATATAAATGCAAGTTGCTGTTTGTTGTGGTTGCTTAACGAAGGTCTGACTGAGCAGTGATCCCGATTAAAAACTCTTCCAGGAAGAGCTCCTTTTGTGAGAATTACTTTCATTTCTGAAGTAATGTAACAACAGTTCAGGGTCTATCTCTTCATTGAAGTCAGGTCCAGGGCTCAGCCCCAGACAGCGCTGTACAAGAATCAATCCGGAGTTAATTTCTTTTATTTTTTCTTCAGTGAAGAGCCCCAGCCCAGGGAAGTCGCTGAGCCCTGTGCTGATGTGCAAGGTGTGTGGAGACACCAGCAGTGGGAAACACTATGGAATATACGCCTGCAATGGCTGCAGTGGATTCTTCAAGCGCAGCGTGCGGCGAAAGCTCATCTACAGGTAGGAAGTAGTTCTTGAATCAATGCAGAGCTTAAGTCATGTACATTGCCTCACGTACGGACCCAACAGTCGCTCTCAATCCTCATCAACCACACAGCTAGATTCTTCAGACAGAGTGTATAATCATCCCGTGTCGGGCTGTGACTCGTCTCATTGGATGAATCGCGTGAATTTTGAAAATGTAACGAAGATCGGGTCCGATTGCAAAGGCTTTCCGTGTGCAGCCTTGTCTCTGTGCTGGTGCTCCACACATCCTGTGAATGTATCCACTTTGCTTGGGTAGAAATTACAAGTAACTGAGGGAAGTGTAGCACCAGGACTACAACATCCTGGTGTGAAAGGGAGAGGACGAGGTGTATGTAGACTAGATGTTATTGTACATACAATATAACAACAGACAGGAAGAGATTAGATCTGCACAACCATTCCGTTTAATAAAAGGGATTGAGTCTCTTGTCCTTGTGTTGGGGCTGTACTAAAGATTAAAGTCTCTATTAATAATACTGTTCATTGTCGAGTGTAAAATGTGAGAGAAAATAAATGAGAGAAGAAAATGAAAAAAGAATAAAAAAAATACTTTGAGGTCAGACTGCAGAGGAGAGCAGGTAATGAGATAGAGTGTCAGACAGAGACTGACTCCTGATTACACACAGTACTCATCTGTAACTTCTCTGCTACAGAATTCACACCTGCAACTCCCACATCGATAGCAACTCTTAAGAAAGAAATTGTTCCAAAAANCGTTTATTCTAAATAAAAATGCATCAAACAATCAACAGAGAGAGAATTTGAAAGTTTAAACACATTCTCCTAAAACTAACAATTTGTTTTCAGGAATACGATGAATGTTAAGCCTCATTTCTCACGGCAATGCATTCTTCACCAAATAGATATCTAATTCCTTCTCAAATTTGCACACACAATCTGCCTCCACAGTCTCCCTACTACATATTGACCATTCTATGTGTAAAGTAATTGAAGCTGAACTGCCTGTTAACCTTCACTTCTAAATGTGTCCTTGGATGCGTTTAGAAGATGTGAAAAGCGCTACATCAAATGGAAGGATTTTTATTATTATTAAGTTAGTGTTCAAAACGAAGAAGATAGGAAGAAATACACGAGCAATTCAGGTTAATGAGATCATACTGATTTTTACACACACCATTTCAGTAATAATACCCTTGAATCGTTTTAACTTCAAGATATATTCAATGAAATAAATATAATCATGTGAAATCTTTAATCTTATACCTTCAATAAATAAAAGGTTAAATCTATTTACTCCAAAAGTATTAAATTCATTATCCAAATGTTAAAGAAAGAACATGTATTATCATAGTGCTTCATGTCCAAACAGCGACTCAACGATGTGATAAGGCGCTGTATCAAATGCAAGGATTAATATTATCTCCAAAAGCTTCACAGATATTGACTGTCAAGTGTTAGCGACTGCTTTTGTGGGCAAGTGCAGCAGTCATTTGAACCAGAAATGTCCTATAAATAACTATGAAGTGAATGACCAAATTGTTCATGAATTGTTGGCAAGGACGAAAGAAACTCCCTTCTTTTGAAACATGCCACAAGGTCTTTAACGTACACAGGCAGACGGGAACTTGGTTTAACAACTCATATGAAGGATGGCACCTCAAAAATACAGTGCTGCCCAAGACTGTCCTTCGATACTGCGAGTTCAATACCCTATAATGTTCCGTTGTATTTATATTTACCCAACTCAGTATGAGCTCAGTGCTTTCGCACGCAGTTTACTTTCCCTTAACTGTAGCCGCACTTAGCACAGGGAGCTTCAGTGAAGCAATGTCTTTACACAACCAAGATGAAGCAAGGGAATTAGATGGAGGAGACAGGCAGAAACAGACTTTCAAGCTCCGTTCAAAGCCTCAAAAAAGTATATTCATGTTCAGTAGAGTTTTGCAGCCAGAACCTTGTAAACCATCTCGGTGCAGGGAGCTGAATTTGTAATGAACTTCCTGACTGGCTCTACGTGTTGGCTGTTCTCAGATGTCAAGCTGGTACAGGGATGTGTCCAGTGGATAAAGCCCATCGCAATCAGTGCCAGGCGTGCAGATTGAAGAAGTGCCTGCAGGCTGGCATGAACAAAGATGGTGAGTGTCTGAGTAAGTGTCAGGACCTCTGAGTGTGTTGGTGTCAACTCTAGAGTGTACTATTGTGTGAATGCAGTAAGTGTGTTAGTGCGCGAGAGTCTCTCTCAATGTGGGAACATGTCTCTCTCAAAGTGTTGGTGTGAGAGTCTGTCTGAGTATTTGTTTGGAAGCGTGTCTCTCTGTGTGTCACTGAGAGCTAGTACAGGAGTCAGTCTCTCCGAGTGTCAGTATCAGCCACTATCACAGCATATTTGGAATTATGTTTCTTAGCTCTTTAGCTCTTAGTACGTGTAATCCTCTCATCTCTTATCTCTGCCTCTGGGTGTCTGTGTTTTTACTCTGTGCTTCACATGTCTCTTCTCTGTTACTACTTTCAGTTGATCGGTTTGTTCGCCTGTGTTTTTCCACTTTGTTTAACTATTTCTGTTTATCTGTGTGTGCCTCGTTTACTCCATTTCTCTCACTATTTCTGTCACTGTCTTTCTCGGTCTCTCTCTGTTTCTCTGCCTAGTTGATTTTGCTCACTCACGCTCTCGGCACTGTTTCAATCCATAGCGGTTCAGAACGAACGACAGCCCCGCAGCACGGCTCAGGTCCGGCTGGATGCCCAAGAGCTCGACCCTGAAAAGGAGCACTTTGCCACAACAAGGGAGCCCACCCCCTCCTCCATCAGCAACCAGCGGCCTGTCTCCTCCTCAGTCAGCACCCAGCGAACCATCAGCCCACAGAATCACCGCTTCATGGCCAGCCTGATGACTGCAGAGACCTGCGCCAAACTGGAGCCAGAAGATGGTCAGTAAACACTTGCCTGACCTCTGCATACCCACAGACAACACTGAATCATTAGTATACATCCGAGAGTCGAGGCTGCTCCTCCCAACACCTGGGGAGTGTAGAGACGTTTAAGTGTGGTCCAGTTGCTTGTTCAGATAAAACTATTAAAGTTCCTATGACACTTTTGAATAAGGGTAGGGAGTCTCTCTCTTGGCTAAGAATCCTCCAGATAAATTGGTTGTTCACTTCATGGATGTTTGTGGCACTTGCTGACTTAAAGGGCTGCCCTGTTCTCATTTTAAAAGAAAACTATCACTGCACTAAGACGTTTGAATGTGATAAGACTGGATAAAAACAGGAGTGCAAGGAGGTTTGTAATCATTTAAAGATTTGGCAATATTTAAAAGGCTCCTCCATTGCCTCAGGAACTGAGTCTTGTGGGTCATATAAGTTCGATCCCTGGTCTGTGCTGAGCTAGTTGATCAGGAATGCAATTGTACTCAGCCCCTAATAGGATAGGAAAAAAAATCAACCAGATTTCCTAATCCTGATGATCCTTCCTCTCTGCCTAATTGTGGACATCGGGTGAGAACAGTATTGGGCTTGGCTGTGATGTCTTTCTGCCTCAGGATCATTTAAGAATAAGAGTTACTTGGGCAATGTGTCTGTAGAACTGCACAAAACATGAGGCAGAGCCTTCAGGTACAGGGAGAGGTTGGGCAGAATAACAGAACATTATTATTATCGGGTGTGTTGATGGGAGAGTGACTTTTTGCTGTCTCACTGTTTCCAGTGGATGAGAACATTGATGTGACGAGCAACGAGCCAGAGAGACCCTCCTCAGAGTATCAGATGTCCTTGTACCCACCCAGCAGTCCTGAGAACGTGTATGAGACATCAGCTCGGCTCCTCTTCATGGCAGTCAAATGGGCCAAAAATCTGCCAGTATTTTCCAATCTACCATTCCGGGACCAGGTCAGTCTACAGAACATTAGACATGGGTGAAGCAGGGTGAGGGGAAGGTCACACTGTGAGGTATTACACTGAAGGTAACTTACTGGAGGGTTTTACACAGGCAGAGAGGTTACATACTAATAAAAGGCATTATATTGACGAGTATATTCATTGACATCCTTATTTTACTGCCTATGATTCGTGAATAATGTTTAGTTTTGCCCCGGTGGATGTACGAGAGGTACTCCAAACCAGTTCAGCTTCATCTGATCCTTTGATGGTAGTGTTACTTACCGAATGTCTATCATGGGCTAAAAGAGAGACGTTCAGAAAATCTCAGGCCATGAATATTACTGTGTAGAAATGCTTATACACAAAGTTAAATTAGTGCACATGTACTAAGGATGAGAGCTGGAAACTCTAGGTCGGTGTGAGAGTTGCAACTATTCACAAGATCATAATTTGTTCTTATATAAGTCCTGGAGACTGGTCTCAACCACTTTTCTGGAAACCCATTCCAGCTGTTATCCTCTGAGAGCCTCTACATAAAGGAATGCTTCCTGATATCTTATCCTTACCTTCTCATCACACTCCTGTGTATTGTCAGTCTCTGAGGTTTTGTTGGTCACTAAATTCCTGATCTGCTGCAGGTGATATTACTGGAGGAAGCCTGGAGTGAGCTTTTTCTGCTCTGTGCTATCCAATGGTCCTTGCCTCTAGAGAGCTGCCCTCTTCTCTCTGTGCCTGAGCTCTCTCACAGTCCCCAAGGCAAGACCAGCTCCACCATAGCAGACATCCGGATCCTGCAGGAGATTATGAGCCGGTTTAAGAGTCTTGGTGTGGACCCCACGGAATTTGCTTGTCTGAAAGCTGTTGTACTCTTCAAACCAGGTGAGTAGCCAATTGTTTCCATATACCTGCAATAGTTTACTGGGATTAGGAAAAAACATTTCTTTCCATCAATGGACAAGTGAAAATCCCTCCCAGAAAGCAATCCCACAATCTCCCAACACCTGGCCCAATGAAGAGAGAGAGACAGGAGCCTCCATGCGATTTGTCTGGGTTTGCTCTATTCTGAGAGGTGATGAGGCTAATGGAATGATCTCGTATAAAGTGCTAAGTATTTTTAATTTTAACTTTAATGTGATCCTAAGTGTGTGTTTTATCACTTCAATTGAAAAACCCAAGACTGTAAGCCAAGACTCCTGGGCAGTTCATTACCAAGTTTGAAAAGAGGAGAGAAAATCAGCTTCTTGTCCAAATCAGCTGCCCATCCAGCAATGTGAAGTGCTTTGAGATGTCCTCAAGACATGAAAGGCACTAAATAAATGTACATTGTTATGTAATATGTATTCAGGTAAATAAAGATATAGTCATTAGGTAATGCCAAGCTTTGATATAAACCCTGTGGATTGTAAGGAAGGTGAGGAGTTTTGAGGTCCAAACCAAGAATTAGAGGAGGAACCAGTATGATGATTTTTGATTTCCACACAGTGAAGATACAGAGAGGAGGAGTGTGTAAGACTAATGATTTTCTTCAGTATTGGTACAGATTGTGCTGTGCTCTGCTCTTCAGAAACACGAGGCTTGAAGGATCCGGAGCAGGTGGAGAATCTGCAAGATCAGTCGCAGGTGATGCTGGGACAGCACAGCAGAACACACTACCCGACCCAGCCCGTCAGGTAAGGACAGAGCGTGTACACACTACTTGACCTACAGAGCACCATATGCACTACCCCAACCAACCCGTCAGGTCCAGCAACAATTCAGCCCAAAGCAACATTATCCATGTGAACACGAGATCTCACAAAACGTTTAGAGATTCAACTTGTATCTCAGGTCAAATTTCAAACAGATCAATCAACATCACACAGGTTTGCTGCTTTAAAACCCCCCACAGACACAAAGTTCATTCAGATCCAAAAGCTGTTACGAGTCTCTCCACTGAGATCAGGTCAGATAATCTCAGCCCATCTGGTGGCCTCATTGACTGTCCAGTATGTTGGAACCTCAACTTTAGTTAATGCTTTACGTTTCCAGTTTTCTTCTCCTACATGTGTTTGTCTCAATTTATTCTATCTGTCTTTCCCCCGCAGGTTCGGGAAGCTGCTGCTCCTCCTGCCCTCCCTGCAGTTTGTGTCCTCAGGACGCATCGAGCTTCTCTTCTTTCACAGAACCATTGGCAACACTCCTATGGAGAAGCTCCTCTGCGACATGTTCAAGAGCTGAACTTCTTATAATAGCGTCTCTCTCCTGCCCATCTTGCATACCCCTTGCATCTTCTGTCCTGCTGTCTTTACCCCTAAACATCCTGTGTCACCTTATCTCCGTCTCAACCACACTTTGCACCAGCTCTCCAGCAGTATCCCAACATTCTGATTCACTGTCCCCAAGTGCTTCCAACCAACCTACCCTCTAAATCCTGAGCACTTTTAAATCTATTGTATATTGATTATATTTCTATATAATAAAAATAAAATCTGGTTCCCTAAACAGTCTGTTGTTCATTTGCTTCATGCGTGGTTTGAACAGGGTTCAGTGAGTGAGTGAGTTACAAAGAAGAATTAGCTGTTTTTGGTGACTTTCCTACCTGTTGCCCAGATGCTGCAAAAGGTATACTGAGACTTAATGAGCAAAGCTCAAAAACCAATAGTCACTTGGCCCTTTCTCTTCCCAAACCTCTCTACCTTTCTTGGAGAAATATCCACAAGATCACAAGAGAGGTTTGGGTGAAGAAGTTCCTTCGGCCCATTTGATCTCATTCTTGTAGAACAATCACCCGACCATCCTATCACGTTGAGATCTAAAAGTTTAAGCATCCATCACAATCCCCAGCAATTTCATCAACAACAATTGATATTATAAAGCACCTTTCACATTGGAATTTTAATAGATACAATAAACCTTCATAATGTGATACTCCAAATTAGATTAGAAGTCACTCTTGTCCAATGCTGACTTTTACCAACCATGTCAGTATTTAATGATTCAGAGCTGCACTAAGTTGCTGTGTTTCAATATTAATTAGTTTGGTAATATTATTTAATACTGCAGATAAATGCAGTGCTGTACCAGGCAGCATTAAATATTAATTAACTGTAAGCAGTTGAGTGGTACACTGATTTGAAAAATTAATTTGTTTGCAAGTCTGAAACATTAGATATTATAAAGAGATCACAAGAGAAGTTTGGATGAAGAAGGCCCATTTGATCTCATCCATCTGGAATACGTACCTTCTAGTTTTCTCATTAAACCTCAAGCTTCGAGTCCAGTGCGTTGGCCTCTTTCTCTAATTAGTTTACTTTCAACTGACACAGAGTCAAAGCTGAGCTTAATCAAATATTAAACTCATCAAATTGGCATAAAGTAAAAAGCTCAATTCCCAGGCTAATTGCCCAATGATTTAAAGTCAACTGCATGCTGTTAGTAACTGATTTATTTTTGGAATTATTTAAGTGATTCTATGTTAGGTTTCAACTTGGGTCAGTTGGTAGTGTTCCCACCAAGGGGTCAGAAGAATGTGAGTTCAAGCACCATGTTGGAGATGCGCAGGTGACAGACACATCATGGCAAACATTCCAGAGGGGGACCATTGCAATGTCAGAGGTGTCGTCTTGTGGATGAGACAATAAATTAAGGTCTTATCTGCTTGTTAACATTGAAGATCCCATATTTACTATTCGAAAGCACATCAACCTATAGCAACTAAACCCAACTAGAATTGGTGCCAGAGTTAGTGAGAACATGCACTTTATTTTAGCCTCCGTATATACGGCCACTTGCTGGGGTGATTTGTATAATCCAGTTCAGCCTTCAACTGGAGATTTCCCAGAGGCCAGTGAGCGAATGGCCTTCTGGGTTTCTACTGCTGCAAAAGGCTTTCGCACTAGTGATTTGTCTGCATTCAAGATGCATCTTAATTCTAAGTACTCAAGGAAAAGCTGTCTAATCCTCTTTCCATGCTTTAGATTCTGAGGTTTTCATTATAATGTTGCTCCCTCTAGTTTTTCACATTCTCTCCTGCACAAATGCAAGATTGTACATCTGCTTTTCCTTCTAGTACAGCACTAGTTTGTTTTGTCGTTCTCCAAGCTTGTGATCTTGCCTTAGTTTAGCAGGAAAGACCATTTTGAAGATGTAGTTTGAGCGATTCAGTTAATATCTTATTTGCATTCATTTGGTCTTGCTGACACTTTTAGCAGAGGTCATGTCCCTTGTTTTCGCTCTATCTGGGCAAGCTGTGCTCTCTCTGCGATTCCCATCTTTGTTCAGTTGTCTCTCAAAAGCACTGGTACCTCCCAGACAGTGCAAGAAGAAACCAATGGATTTACATTCAACTCAAAACATTTTCTTTCTACCTGGATGCATTCTGACCTCCAAGTGCACAACAATGTCCCACAAATAGCCTTGAATGTACTTTTGTTGTTGTTGAAGTGAAGGCCCAATTTTATCTGGGGGATTGTTGGCCAAGACACTGGAGAATCTCCCTTCTCTTTTTGAATAGTGCCAAAGAATCGTTAAAGTCCACCTGAACAAGCAGAGAGGACCCTCTGTGTAACACTTATTCTGAAGAACAGGTCCTCTAACAATGCAGCACCACATTGCAGTGTCAGCCGAGACAGTACGAGTTGAAAGTCCCAACATGGGGCTTGCACCCACAACCTTCTTGAACCCATTGAACATTTTAAAAGATTCCTTTGACACATCTATTACATCCTTTGATCAAGGAGCTTATCCAGAACCTCTATAAAATCTTTCATTGATTGTTGTGTCTGTTGCTGGTAGTTGTTCCACATTATCTATCAGCCTTTCACTTCATAACATTTGTAACATCCAGGTGATGGGAGGATTCTCTGCTCTTTATCAAGGGGCTTTTTTTCCTTTTCTGGATAGTAATCTGCCAATATATCTGCTATATAAATGCATGTTGCTGCTGCGTTGATTGATATATTACAGCCTTGCAAATTCCTGTTTCCTCAATTGCATGTGTCAGTGATGGAGCTCCTTTGTATAATTCATAAAAATGTAAAGTGTAAGATTTGTTTAAAAAAATAAAAGTAGCAAGTACTGGAGGGACTAAACTTTGAATCTTTACTCTGCTGAAATACTTATCAGTGAGTGAAACCAAAGTGACTAACTACCCGGTCACAGCAATGAGCTTCCCAGAAGAAGGCTGAAGAACAAAGGCTTGGGGACAAAGAGGTGATTTGCAGCTGCAGTAAATGTACAAGACTGGAAAGAAAAACTGAATTTCTTCATTGGCAAATTGCTCCAACTTCTCTGGTAATGTGAGGATCACTAGTGTGAACTCAGATGACCATATAAGGGATGGGTCGGCTTCAGGTACTTAACATTGAGTGAACTAGAAAAGTTATTGCAGTGACCAGTTACACCAGTACCATAAATCTCTATGAACTCTATGAAGAAAGAGGTCACATGTTCATAAAATACAGGCAGGAACTTTATTAGATCAAGTCAAATTATTAAATTAGCAACGTATTCCAAGTATCAACCCTGTAATATCTTATATCAGTCACATGAGTGCTATTTATTTGTTTACATTGTGTGAGTGTGTGTGAGAGATACACTTTCAGCATTTGACAAAATACACACAGAAGGGAACAATTACGGACGAAAGTTCACTTACATACACACCACTGCGTCTTGTACATCCAACCAAATAAGGAGACAGGATCAAGGTTGGAGTAATGTCTCATACTCCTGCAGTTTAGAATGTCATCTGACTGGAATATCTGTCCTGCAATTCCTTCCTAGTTATATTGCTCAACTGTCACTCATCCCATTATTGGAACTAACCTTCACTCAAAACAAAGTTAAAAGAGTTATAACATGCAGAGTGTACTTTGTGTATAACTGTGATCACACCAGTTAACTCCATCTTATCCCTATCCATTTTCTGTCAACAGAAGAACTCAGCAAAATCCACAAACCAACATTTCCAAAGTTTTAAGTGCTTTACAATTCCACCTAAAGTTGTGAAGAGGATGAATTAGCAATGTTAGAGGAAGAGAAAAACGTTAAGATTTAACAAATGGAAATCTATTTTATTTCAAGATGTCTTGGGAGAAGGAAATTGAAGCCAGGAGGGATGACTAGCCAAATGACAGCTGGAATGCTCCACCATCCAGCCTAAAGGGAGCTGTACATCTGCTCTCCGAAAATGAGGAAAAACTAATAACGCATAAATGTCCAAACCTTGATATTTTCCTGCAGCATCTTATCCCGTGCAACTTGCTGCGTTGTTTTCCAACTTCGCTGACTAGTTTGTCTGTACAAAACATCTCATTTTTAACTTTTAATGATGGGATTCCTCCTTTAATGATGAGTTCATAGAGATTTATGGTACTGCATTCAGAGAGCGTAAAGTTCATTCAGACCACAGCACTGCTCCCATCCTACAAATGTGACAGTGGGATTCACAGCAGCATCAAGACATTTAACCTCTGTGGTGGAGGCCTTCAGCATGCAGGTGGGAAGAGTGAAGGCTCAGGGAGATTAGAAAGTTCACATTTAATGAAGTAACCCCAATTACTTTGATTTAATTGGGTGCAATTGGTAGAAAGATGTACACGTTGGCTCGGCTTGACCTTGCAGTCTGTTCAAAAACATTCATTCCCAAACACCATCTAGCCCTCCCATATGCAGAGAATAAAGACTCATTTTAAAGTTTCACAGTTTCACTCGGTGTTTTGGCCACAACATTTGACAATGATAATTCTGGCTTCCATTCTTATGGAAGAATAAAATCAGTCAGAAATAAGTGTTACAGCTCTTGTTCTTTAATAAGCTGCAGGTTATTTGTTCATACACATGTTTGTACAACCATACACAGATAATATTTAAGAAATATTACACAAATTGCACTTTATACATATGATGACCACCCAAAATGCTAATGTCAAAATACAGAGTTAAACAGTGAACTGTACAGAACACAAACTTTGGGCTGTGTTTACTGAACAGTTTATACGAGTACTTTATAGAATATGACACAGGATAATATATCCTTTTACAACAGATTTCTTGAAATATACAGTCATGAGCATACTATTAGTTACTAGAAGCCCAGCATGCCCTTTCCAGTGATTGATACATTCAGTTTGTTCCTAAACCTACTCCACGTACACTCCCCTGTAGATGGGAAGCTACAATCTTACATCATCACGGAAATAAAATTAAGAATTAAAAAAGGTCAAATAAAAATAAAGTTAAAAACAAAACTCAACGAGTTTCAGCGAGTTTTAAAAAAAAAACAATCTAAAACTTCAGGTTTCTTGTTTTAATACTGATGATTTAAGATTTGCTGGATTGGGTTAAACGGAACGGTCTGGGATTCTGGTTTGGCTTACTTACAACGATCATGCATTACAGTCGATGAGAATGTAATGTAAATGCACTTTGCAGGTGTCTGCTGATCAGCAGATGTTGGCTTCCCAAGCTTGGTGATTAGTTAGGTTGGTCCCTTTTATGGAGGCATTCTAAATATTACACCCAGGCAGAGTAGCGTTACCCAACTGGCAAGTGGTTTCTGAAACCCTGTAAAACGCCGGACACAGGACGTATGGTTAATGCATTTTATATACAGATATTTGGCTTACATTTCCCAGTCATCTCTGGCTGACCTCGGACAGCTTGTTTTAAATATTTCAAATGTTCGTTCTCTCTGGCAGCAGTGCTTCCAAGTCATCGAGAAGTGCTTTTGAGCCTGATTGTATGCCTTGGTCTCGGGAGCTCTTCAACAAGTTCACTCAGCTCAGCACTTTTTGCAGAGTCAGTGGAGTGTCGCTGTGGGATTAATATCTCAATCCGTTCTCAAGTCTATTGGATCCTTGGAGTCAGCGGAATGGGTCGGTCCCGCTTTTCTGGATGGTGGATCACTGCCCAGACAACAAGTGCTTCAAGTCCAGCCTTCCCCGGACAGAACCTTCTGGATTGCAGATACCCCATCGTTCCTCAGGAACAGTGTACCAGCAGCTGTTTATCACGTGAATGCACCTGCAGCCTAGATGCCTGGCTCAACACACCCAATAATTCTGCACAGGTTGTGACGTTTTCAATCAATACAAATGGTTAAGGCCACAGTGCAAACCTTCTGGCAGGTTTTTGTTTAAGCAAAGAAACCACTTCCCTTTGACATTCCTTCGGCAGCGATGCCACTGTGAAGATTGGACGTGTTGCACAGGTGCACTGAGATAGCAGCACCCAGGAGGAAGATGTGTCGGGATGATTTGAAGACCTCATCCCAAGTTGAACATAATCCTTCATAATACGGAATCTCACACCATGAACTCGTTCTTTCCAAAAACCACCAGTTGCTGTGGAGCACCGTATTCCGGCTCAGAGTTCCGCTTCTTTCCCATTCCCGAAGCCCCGTCAGGAGAGTCTTTGGGCTTCTGCACTGAACGTTTCAGTATCTTCAGTTTATGTTTGCCCTTTTCTGGGTTAAAAGTCCCTCTGCTGGTAAACTGGGGAAAGTCTTCGAGACCTTTGCCCCCCTGGCTGTATCTCGCTTCACCGTCTGGACTGCAGTTGACGTGTGAGCGGTAAACCGCTGGCGAAGGGGACTTGGAACGGAAACGGAACCGCCTTCCTCCTTGTGGTACAGAGGAGGCCGAGGACGAGGCCGAAGAGTGAACGGCTGAATCGATGGACTCCACGGAATCGGCCTGCTTCCTCAAAGGTCTCCTCAGCCGGCTCACTGCCTCAGCCCTCTGCTGGCTGACAGAGCTGATCACTGAGCTTCTTTCTGCGCATGAGCAAAGAACTGGGCATCGTTAAGTGCACAACCAATACCTGGCACCTTTCCAATGCTACTGGAGCACCAAGCTCACACTGCTTTGTTAAATGTCCAACTACATCTGTATTAGGCTTTGAAACGTCACTCTGACAGTGAATATTTTAAAGGAAAGTAGAGAGAAGCAACCACTGCAGTTGTCTTGAATTCACCACGTGATATGTTTAAAGTAAGAGGGAGTCAAAAAATACACTGCATCCATCTGACTGTCAGAAAAACAGCTCCAGAAATTTAAAATAACTTACTATATTAGAAATTAAAAAACATTTCTAAAACAATGATGCAGTTCCCTTTGTATTTTTAACTGAAATCTGATTTCTTAAACATTGAAATTTTACTCCTAATTTAAACTCAGTGATAGGACACTGCTCCTTCCAAATGTTTCATTAAATACTCCACTTCTGGGTGGTTCATAGAAGGATGCCCTTCCCCATCTGGCATGGGCAGGAGGACACTTACCTAGGTCCTGTTATAAGGTCTGTTATCTGGACCCTGCCCTCAAGTCGGTTGCCCGGGTTCTGTCACTTGGTTGGCTGGTTACCTGCGCCCTTTCACACCATCTCTCTCTAGGTCTGTCACGTTACCTGAACGCTCTGACTGTGCTCCCTCGGAGTCCATGTTTAAGTTCTCGGAACTGTCTGCAGTGCCGATCGATGCTTCCGACTCCAGGGTTTCATCGTCAGAGGCTCGTGGTTCCAGAGCAAGCATTTCAAACGTCAGCTCCTCCCTGCAATAAAAAAGGGGTAAAAAAAAATCATCAGGAGACTCGGAAACAATAAACAGACATCTGGCCAGACTGGCTGTGTGTGTGTGTGCACCTCTTACTTCTCTTTCTGCAGGGTCTCGATTTGCTCAGTCAGAGTCCTCTCCTCCTGTTGCATAGCTGCCTGCTGCTGCTCTGTCATGTCTATATCTGTTGTCTCCTCGATATTTGTTTCTTCAGGAACATCTGCCACCGATGGCAGTCGCACGCTCACCGGAGAAGCAGGGCTGGCATAATTGGAACGGCGAAGACGGCCTTTGCCCTACAAGAGTTACAGAAGAAGAGGTTTAGTCACCTTCTGCAAGTAAAGGCTTTCCAATCGAATAACGGACTGGTCTGGCAGTAATGATGGATTACTCTACAGTAAACTCAACCCACCCTTTGTAAATTAATTCCAAGTCATAAATTGACCCATCTTTTAATGCTGCTGAAGGAGAATGTTTTTTTTCTTTATGCAGGCAATCAATTCATCTCAGAACTGAGCCCAAACCAGCTCCAACGTGGCTATTGATGGGTAAGAGGTAGCAATATCCCTTTGCTTTCCATCCCTTGTGAACAGCTGTCGAATTGCCAAGTAGAAGAGAAGTAAAATGAAGGGATCAAAACTTAGGTCGAATGCATACAATTTCCAGGAGCATAGATGTATTTAGAAGCTATTGAGGGACTAGAGCCATTTGAACATAAGGAGTCTTATTTCTCCCACTGAACCAGATGACATGCAGTCTTGTCACCCGTTGCTTAGCTGTGTTGTCTTGCAAGACATCCCCGTGCAACAGGATTGCAGGTTCAGCAATGGATCTCTTAACGGAATAGGTTAGGAATGGGAGTGCTGGTCCTGACTTGTGACTTCAGCTCTCATATGACTGCAGTTAAGGTGGTGAAGCTTTTCAAGATATTTCTTGGGAAGTAAGATGGAGATAGTATATATTTATCTGATGACCTGTCCCAAAACCTCCAAGATCAGATCCCACAAGGACCTATAATTGACTGATTTGGGCCTTTCCAGTTCAGAACCATCTGAACCCTGAAACACACACTTTCATGCCCCCTCCCTTGCCTCCTTCAAGACCTGTCTTAGGACCCTCCTCTCCAACCGTGCCTTTGATCACCTTCCTCCTGCCCTCCACCCTCCCCGATCCCAACCCCCAGCTCGGGTTCGAAACACTGACTGTTCAGCACCTTAAGGACGTCCTCTCAATGTGAAAGGCGCTATACAAATGTAATTTTGTTGTTGTTTAGAAGGAAATTAACCCTGTTTCTGGGTATTTTGTGGCTGCAGGAATACTCTCTCTGCTCTGTTAATCAATGAGTCTTTGTTTCTGAAACTGAAAGATTTGAATGTGAAGCAGACCCAGGTACCTAGCCTCAAAAACTGGTTGGGACATTGGACACAATTTTTTTTTTTAACCTCCTTCCATATTGAGGCAGGAGCCATCACTGATACACATGGGACTCAAACCCAGAAGAGCTTCTGCATTAACATGCACCTGTCTCTGAGTGGGCACGGTTCATCCTCAGTGTGGCTTCAAAGTTTTGTAAGCCTGGTTTGTTTTCCAAACTGATCAACATTTTTTTTTAAAAAAAATCGGATTAACCAATTCTAATTCAACAAGACTGAATAAAACATGTTCAAACTCCAGGTGGTTTCTGCTGCAGTGAACATGCTGCCTCACAGCAGCTACACTGAAGTCAGGAGATTGAACCCATTACAGGACATCTCTATTTCAGCCCCCAAACCCCATCATCAGATATATTCTCATTATTCACCAGTCCCATGAAGCCATTTCATCAGCCGCATCAAAGAGCAAGTTACAGGCTGGCAGTCTGAAACCTTGTTATTGAGGACAACATCCTATACACACTTCAAACAAAGGCATTGAAGCAATTGGCCAGATCTCAGTGCTCCAAAGGAAGCAAGGAGAAGAAAGCCTCAGCTCTCTGAATCAGATGTAATTACCTGCGGAAACTTAATTTAAGATAAGAAATAAAATAAATAACCTGACCGTCTTAAGACAAACATGAAATGGTCTGAGGTTTTAGGATTCCGTGCTGTATTATCCAGGATTGTGTGTGGCTGATGTGCACTTGCATGCTGGAATGGGTGCAGTGTTGGAGAACTCCACCATAAGAACCAGCATAAACATCCACGCAACTCATTTACACAGCACACATTCATGCAAATATGCACACACATGTGCAAAATACACTGCACATTTACAACTTAAACACACAAGGAAACACACCACAGACTGGAACAATTCTACGAACAATCCCTTGAGTCAGAATTACCTTTTTAGTAGCATTCGGCTGCATGGTTGGCAGAGAAAAAGTAGAATCTGAGTGGTGTACTCACCATCCTCATTCCAAATAGTTAAGCAGAGTGATCATGAGATGGTGGAAGCATGGTGTGGACCAAGATGATGTACTCCACCCCTCTGGGTTTCAAACTTAAGCAGACAAAGAGCTGGTATGTCAATGCAACACAGACTTCCATCTTTCATCTCTGGCATCACTTCAACTTTGCTCCAATATAAACCATATTTCATCTACATCACAAAATGCTGGTGCAGGTTAGGATTCCCTGCCATGTACATCAACCTTTGAGACAGAGGAAGGTCTACATAACACAGGCAAGCTAATCCTGTCCTATTTCATTCCAATCTGCACTCCTCCTAAACATACACAACCTTCTGATTATATTCCTTTCCCAAGTAAGACTAACATAACCCTTAAAGTCAGCTAAGTTTCTTTAAGTGGAGCTCCTGTGAATATACTATCACACAGCATAAAGGATAACTCAAGTTAAAAATCAAGGTCCTGTCACCTAAAGATGGAGGTAGTGCTGCAACTAAATTGCTGAACTCACCTTGACTGCGACCCTTAAAGCTTTCAAGCAAAGGAGATTTTAATCCCATTGGTTCGAGTTACAATCCACTCAGCAGCCCACAATATGCAGGTTTCATATTTAATGTAAATAACTGTGATGGAATACTATATTGGTTACACTCACATCCATAAACAGAAAAGCTGGACAAAGGCAGAGCATGTTCTGGCAAATCCAATGTATATGTTCAATTACAAGTAATTAAAGATATCAAGAACCAGAGCACAGAAACAACCGTTACTGTAGGAACCTTGCTAATACAGGAGGAATTTCTTTACCTTTAACATCAGAAATATTCAGAATCCTATTAACACAGATAGTCTCTACATAGTACGTATTGATGATTGAGTTTTCAGAGACATAAGTGGCAACTGATTCACAGATTGGAATTAAAAAGTCTATGTAAATTAAATTACGAGTTGCATGAAATATAGTTATCACAATTTGTGCAATGATGCTTCCAATCCTAACCAAACTGAAACACTAACAGAAACATTGAATGCAACAATGCCATCTACAGGCTCTGTGCCACTAAGCAAAGAGAAGCAGAGCAATCCTCCTTCAATACATTAACACACAATGCAAACCCGAGCTGGAGTTATCAAGCCTACTTTACGCATACAATCATAACAAGATCACCCTCAATTCAATTTTTTCCCCATTTGCAGAGAGTGACTCTGGATAAGACAGAACTGACTGGCCCTCGTTAGGACCTGACCGAGGACTAAAGCAACACCAACTCTATATCGGCAGCTCAACCCATTTCAAAACCAACTGTTTCAGGTAATACAGTTCTATGATACAATTGACAGCAGTTGTGCCTTGGAGAATTAACTAAACCAAAATAATTGATTTTGTCGAATTTTCAAAAGAAATCAAGATTTTATGTTAAATATCCCGAGCTTTTCACTGTAATAGAGCCAGCAGGGAATCTATCCACTTATATCGAACACCAAGAAATCTCTCGTTTTCTCTGCTTTCAGCAACCTCCAGAACTGACTACTAGGCCAGCAAATATATGCGTCTATATTTCTGACAATGCCCTCTGGAGACAGCTAATGAGAAATGGCTATGAATGACCTGCCCTTGGTGTGTAAGTGCTTTCTCAAATGACAACTGAGATTGGGAATAGTTTGCTAAAGAAATGCTGAGACCTTCCTGTGTTTGAGGATCTATGTCTGTGATCTACCACACTGTAGCAGTCATCAAGGGAACTGGCACCTTAAGTCAGGTCATAATGCAAGAGCTGAAAGAAATGACAAACGCCACACATACTTTTTCCTTTAATGAACAGCACTCAATTGTTCAACAAATCAGTGTTAATCTAACGGACGTAAGAAGAGGGAAACATTGTTACAACAAAAATCACCAAAGATATCAACTTTAACTAAACGGTATTTCACAAATCTCTGAGCAAAGAGATTACAAATACATCAAAATTGTTTAGATACAGAGGATAAGAGTAGAACCCAATATATAGCATTGATTTCTAAATGACAAAAGACTCTTAGTTTGAGCTAATCACTGATAAATTGGAATTTCATCCACCAATGAAAGGAAAATTCCTCATACTAATGCTTCACTACGACAGAGTTCAGTGCGATATTGCAAGTTCTGGTCCTCAGCAAATCACTAAATGTTGCTTTTGATCCATTAACACAGTTTTAATAGTTCTGAATACTAAATTATTTCAAACTTGAATAGATGTTTCTGCAATACACTTGCTACTGAGAATTTCAGGCAGTATTTGGACCATGTACACGGCTAACCCAAGTAGACAATAGAAGGGCGACTACACCCAGAGAAAATTTTTGGTCAAATCTAAATATTTATTAATGTCCAGTTCTCTAATTTCTGACTTCCAATGTACGGAGAATACACAGAATAACCGGTATAGTACTACAACAGAATATTGTCACGAGTTCGTAAAAAACTACTTTTTTTAGACCCTTTGCACTACAGTACAAAGCAACTCAAGTGATCAAATACAAAGAATAATGTTTGCAATAGGGCATCATTGTGAGTGCCACACAGTCAGCAAGACAGGCTCCCACAGCCAAACAAAAGGCAATAACACCAGCAACTTTCAATGGAGCCTCATTCTCTTCTCAAAGCAACAGTACCGTTTCGTTCTCCTTGGCTGGTTGCCTGACCATTGTGTAATGAATGGGAGAATGGACGGGATTTTCCAGAAATGGAATTGGGTGACGTGGGAGAAAAGTACCTACCGGAATTGAACTGCGAGTCATACTCATGAATCTAACTGCTATTATAACCGGTTTCTACAGTGGAAAGAATACGAAAAGCAGAGGATCAGGTTAGGTTACCCATGCATTCATTAGCAACATGCAGGCTGCAGGAAAAGGAGTTAGTTTCAAGGTTAGTTGATAGTTAGTGGTGATAATCATTGCTTGATTAGATAAGGCACCTTCATTCCAAAAATTGTACTTAGTGCAAATCAGTGAGAGCTTAATGCTGCTTTCAGATGCACCAATTTCAAGAAAAGCATTCGAAAAGATGTTGCATTGCTGAACAGGATGTGAGCACAGAATATGAGCACAGAAAAGCACAGAATGTGAGCACAGAAACGCATCACCTCAACTCCACATCACTGCACTGTGACAAAACAAGCACACGGACGCCACAACACTGCCTTTGAATATGCCGGACAAATTGCCAATCTCTCTTGGTTCCACACACTGTGGCTGATATAAACAGTGAATCACATGGCACAAAACCCCACATAAGACGCATGTTGACCTGCAGACAATCTGTATATGAAGCAAATAAAATACCACCACCAGCTCATGTGTAAAGACAAATGGTAACATCTTCTGCTGTACTAGAACAGGCACGAGCACCGCACAGCAATGAAGTATTGTGCAAGTACCACCTCACACACAATAGGCCACCTCTCATTGGGAAAAACTGAATAAAATCTGAATAAAAGGCCGAAGGTGGCCATGTTCGGTAAGTTTAAAAAAAACTTACAATTGAGCGACGAATCAGTGACAGTCTGTTCTTGGCTTTATTTTCTGCAAACTCCAAGCTGTTGATGTCCTTTAACCTGGCTCGATACTTGTTCATTTGCTCCACAATAATCAACTCCACACACCTGAAAAGAGAAACATCCGATGGGACCAATAACCAGAACAAACAGTGGGTGAACAAACCACACCCAGATCCCTGAGTCTTTCGAGGTTTCTTCACCCCTTCTTTTTAGGAGTTTAGGAAACTCGCTGCTTCCTCCACCTTTCATTTATTTTCTCCTCTTCTAATGCTGAGCTTTGATCTAAATGTACCTTTTGATACTTTGCCCAAATGCCTGTATCTCATACGGTGACGGTGAAGGCATCTCACGGCCACATGTGATCCTATCCACACCAAAACTCTTACACATGTGTACTTTTACAGCAGAGATCCAGGCCAACGTATCCTCTCCCTATCCCAGCAGTGCTGCTCAATTGTAACCTCAACTAATAACTTTGCTCAGATCAGCACAGCGTGCAACCTTCTAGTTTGTATAGCACTGGGCTTTGCTTTTACAAACTGGGTCATTAAAAGACCTTCTGCAACTAGCTTTAACCAGTTCCCCTTCTGGTGAATATAATAAAGACATATAACAATATGTAAGGGTCATTTTCTTAAAATTACAGGCTCAAGCTCACGGATGTCTTCATTGAGATGTTGGTTCATATGCCTTCAAATAAATCATTAAACCGAGGCCTATCTTTCTAGTTAACAAAGATTGCACAAGGCTGCTATAAAGAGTACAGGATGCCCTGTGTGCTATGACTGATCACAGCTCTCGTCTAAATGAATTTAAACTGTATTAGGATTGAAAATATTCTCACGCAGTTGTCTTTGAAATATCTTGAACACTCTGCAGCGGATCTGTTGTGTCTGGACATCGAAGAATACATGGAGCAAAGACTATCGCCAATGCATTTGAGGACATCCGGTTGGTGTCCTCCTGTAGTGCGATTCTGGACAATGTAATAAGTAAAGAAAATGGTTATGGAAATTTGCAAAAAGAAAAAAAAGGATCATCAATATCAAACTCATGTTCAGACCAACAGGATTTTCCGGTGAGGTTGCTACTGCGCCATTTGTCACACGCCAGTGGCATTTAGTGGTAAAACATTGGTTCGGTGCAATAACAGATGCTCTCGCAAAAGCTTCTGTCGAGGACTCTTATGGTAAAGTAAGCTCAACTGAACCCCAATGAACAGTATTAGCCAATTACCTGACAAGATGAAAGATTAGCCGCTCCAGGGTACTGAGGTGCGATCTTGACAGCTGATCAATGATAGAATAGACTCCCCGAAGGATTTCCTTTCTGTCCTGCAGGCCTGAAATATTACAAGAAAGTTTTATTTAAAAGTGCCAGAAGCCACATCACACATCACTATGAATCACGCTCATTCTCAATGAATGCTGGCGCGCGCAATCCTGCATGACATAGGAACGGTTCGCTGGTAATGAAGGCGTAGTGAGCAATAATCGAGTAATCGGGAAAGAAGACGACGGGTTAATCTCTTATGATATTTGGAATACTTGTGGCAAGCTCAGATGTGAAAAACACTGATCCAACTCTCTGTGGAACCCGCTGCTTACCCATGGCCCGTAGGCACTCGTCATAGAGCTCGAAAGTCATCAAAGGGTTCGGTAGGTCCCTGAGCCACTGCTTGAAAACACTGGCGATCACGTGGATGCTATACTCGTCCAGGTTCATGCTGCTGATATCTACAGAAAGAATCGCTGGTTATTCTGGAAACAAACACAGCAACCGGGACATACCTTTGAGTACATGGACCGCTTACTTCCAAACTGAATATGGCATTTCTTTTCCCAGGAAATATAATAATAATAATCCTTGCATTTGATATAAAGCTGGGACTCGCTTTATTTTCTGTACGCTGATGCTTGCCGCTGTGAATGGGGACAACCATCATTTGTAAAACCAACCTACCCATGTCTGGATCCACTTGTGATGGTCTGTGTGACTGCCTTGCCGACCAGTGTCATGACTGTTCCTAAGGCGTGCTTACCTGTATCCAGACCTTGCTTCAGCTCCTTGATCTTGTTGGTTGACCCCGATTTCCTGTAGATCCCTTCTGTGTAAAGGCCGTGCATCTCAATATAGTTGATCAGTTTCTCCGCCACCAGAGGAACCGTCCTCTCGTCATTGGTCAGTCGAGAAACTTCAACCCCAAACTGGCGGGATGAGAGCTCTGGATCGTACTGCGGAGTAACCAGCAGAGTGAGTGACAGTGAAGGAGACTGAAAGGACAATCAATCTGGATTAATTCACTGGACAAGGACAGGACACTGTTGGGATGCAAAAAGTCTCTTTCCTCCTTCAAGGTCTGTCTCAAGACTCTCCTCTTCAATTGCACCCTTCTATCCCCAAGCTCCCTGTCCTCCACCCCTTCTGATCACAACCCCCAGCTCGGGTCCAAATCTCTGATTGTCCAGCGCGATGGGACGTCACCCCAATGTGAAAGGCGCTGTGTAAATGTAATTTGTTGTTATTGCTGCATTGATACTGCTTTCACCAAGATGTCTAGATGATTCCACATCCATTAAAATTTCATTGTTTCTAATGGTGGTTCACGTATTTCCCACATCTCAGCGCTATCACAATAATCACGCAGTATACAAATGTAGGACATCATTTTCCATGGTCTCAGAGGCCATATCAAATGCAAATATTATTATATAAAAGCAGAGTTTCCACTTTTTTTAAAAAACAAACTCCAGGACTGTAATATACTGCAGCAAGAATTATACCCTGATTACGAAAGCCTATAGAATTCACTTAAATTCTACTTTGCTCCTGTTCTTAATCACTATTTCATAACATCCTAGTTGGTAGCACTATCAGCGTTTTTCATATTCCATAAATTAACAATGGGAAGAAATGTGAGCATTGGGCAGTATAGGAAAAACTGCTTAACACGTGTTCGGCTTTACAAAGAAAAAGCAGGCACGCAGCAGAGGATTCAAATCAAATCACTAGGAGAGTTGTTTCCTGCTATAGTGCACGGTGCGAGAGCAAACACAATTTCAGTCTTTACACTGTGCATTTTAATCAGAAAGGAGCATGTATTCAGTACAAAGCAAACATGCACATCACTCCTGTAGTGCCTTGAGCATCAATTATAGCTTCACAAAGATTTGGCAGTTTACACTGCGGGAAGACGCTGCATTATTCAGACTGGAAACTAATTGAGCAATTACTGGTGCCATCAATTAGGCAGCACCTTGACAGTGTTGCAGACAGTCTATTGGCCTTATCTGCATTCTTTGTATTTTGGATTGTTGAATAATTTACATACACCTTTGAGTAAATTATTTTACCAATTTTCTCACTGTTTTAAGTGAGCTTCTGACAATGTGGTTCTTGGGACTTCAATTCCACAGAAACATGGAAATTCTAATGGGTTAGGATTGAAGCCTGAATTCTGCACCATACATACAGCTACTATTTAACCACTAGTGACAACACTTTTACATTATGGGTCTGGCACAAAAAAGGAGGCAGCACCCTGTGACTTCTGCGACCCAAATAATGGTCGCGGAAGCTGTGATTGCTGTTGCAAATATCAGATGACTATTGTTTGAAGCCTGCTTAGTGAGCACTGACGATGAAGTCTGAGCAAAAAAACACGCCACTTGCTCAACATCACATGAGATTATACCCGTGTTCATTGGAGACCACCTACCTTTTTAGAACATTTGATGGTAGTTTTCAAGCAGCACTTCCTGTGGCAGGCATACCGGCACACTGAAAGAGGGTGAGCATAGGAGTCAGCAAGCTGTCTTATATTAGCTTTCAACCCAAGAGGTCAGCTAGTTGTTAATGCTTTCATATACTTCAAGTCCGAGTTACAAATTACCTTTAGATATCTGTGACATCTTGACACTGGGTTGTTGGTTCCATGACCTGATTTTAGGAAGGATACACTAGCCTTTGGAGGGTGACCAGCAACAGTTCATTAGGCTGATACTTGGTCTTAAGGGTCTTTGCTATGATGAGAGGTTTAGTAGACTGGACTTATATTCCTTAGAGCAGCGGAAATTAAGGGGCAAATTCATTGAGGCGTGTCAAATAATGAAAGGATCTGATGGGCTAGACGATGGAATACTCTTCTACTTGGTAGAGGGATCCATTTACAAAGGAGGAGGTTATCTGATAAAACTGAGGGAACTACTCCACATAGATCCCATGACACATCAAGATGCACTTACACTTGCAGACATAGGCTCTGTCCATCATCCAGATGAGGGAGGAGCAGCACTCACAGTAGGTGGGGATACTGTATTGTGTTGATTTGAATACATGGCCATTGTATTCTTCCACCTGCAATTAAACATTCTCAGCTCATTACACAAAGGGAGGTAATCAACAACAAATTGCATTTATATAACAACTCACACAGGTAGCGTCTTGGAGTCCTTAACAATGGCAGAGCTTGATGCTGAGCCAGGGAGAGAGGGGAGGTTACTGTAGGCACACTTGAAGAGGAAGGCCTTCGGGTGTGATTTGAAGACAAACAAGTAGGAGCCAAGGCGGAGGGATTGAGGCAGTGTTCCACCAACAACAATGACTGACATTTAACATTTTTCTGCACCTTTCACGAAAATGAAATATCTCAAAGCCCTTTCACTGAATTAGGCTAAATAGAAATGAGATGTTACGTTGGTAAATCTGGCAGCTATTCTGCCCCATTGAGGATGAGGGCTATACTGCAAGTACCGAAAGGTCCACCAGAATCCATGGAATGACATGAGTTACTGCCTCGAGGAGAAGACAGAGGAAAGATGATGGCTCAGTTACTTACAATGTCACTTTCTTTTTTCCGTCTCTTCTTTCTCTCCACTTTTGGTACCTATGGAACAACAACTTGCATTTTATATAGCACCTTGCATGTAATGCACAATGCTAATATTGTATACTATAATACAAAGTGCCACGGTTTTACACATCGTTATTCACAGCGTCACTATCTATCATCAAGAAACAGATCTTCACTCGCCAATGACAATTTTTAACCACTGCACCTAAACTGAATAAGCCATTAGCCACTCTTTGACTCTCATTTCTTCACCTTTCCTGTGCTATTCTCCAGAGTTTTGTACTCAGTCATGAACTCGTCCAGGAACACCTTGAAGGTGTTGACCCACACTTTGACAGGTGACTCGTTCCAGCCTCGCCGCTCTTGTCTCAAGGTCTTCTCCAGAATCTGCTCAAACAGCGCGTACAGATCTTTGTAACGAATGCTTTTCCCATCATCCATCTGCAAACAGATCCAAACTGTGTTTCAACAAAAGAACACAAGAGACAGAACACTGTAGCTAAACTATACTTTGTTGACTTTTTCGCGAAGTTGGATGATTTGTAATCAACCTAGACGCAAACTCGGGAGCTATGAATCCTTGTTGAAATTGCACGGAATATATCATAATACATGCTGTATAGTAGCTGACGAGAGCAGATGCTCACCGCTAAAGCCGTTGAGTAGGAATTGAAGATATTCAGGCGAAATTCCTTGAGTGATTTCTTAAAGACAACATCCACAAAGGTATCTTTCTTGCAGTCGTCTGTTTCCAGGTCAGTGATCTGCAAGAGCCAAGCAAAAGAATGGAAATAGATTGGCGACTGACTACCAACCTGATAAATTCCACCATTTCAGAAAACAAGGAGTTTCCAGTACTTTGTTATTAGTGAAGCCTTCTCTTATTTGTCATGAAAACACGTAACGTAATTTGCATTTGAAAACCAGCCCTGGGTTCCAGACAAGCTCATGTAGCAGACATATTAACTGGGAGTATGTCTCAAAGAACATCTCAAAGTAATAACCTAATTTTAGAACATTTCCTGGGTGGGGGGGCGGGGTGGAATTCAGTACTGGCCAAAATTCAATTCAATAAATTTCCTTTAAAATCAATAAAAAAAACAGCATGCAGTGAATGCGGGAGACTGAGGCCTGAGGAAAGAGCATCATTTAATTGTATACCTTGAAAACAAGACAAAGATAGCGACTCCACTAAGACCCCAGCAAAGGCACAGAGAATGTTACAGCACCTGCACTCACCTTCTTTTGCAGAAATTCATTCATGCTTTTGAAATCATTTGCACTTGTGATGATCTGCAGGGCATCATGCTGCCAATGTATGGGCTCCAGCCCCACATTACTAATCTTCACACTTCTCCTCCTCCGCACTTTTGGTGATGGCTCCTTGTTCTCCTTGAATTCTTTTCCCCGCTCCAGCCCAAGGTCAGGACTCCTGGGTGGGGTCAAGTTGTGCTGAATGGGATCATAACCTGAAGGGAGACTCCAGAATTCAAGAATAGCCATTTCACCCATCTCAGTTGCATCCTATAACACTTTCACGTTTAGCACCATTTTATCCCAGCGATTAGTCCAGTTGGGTCATAAACTCCAGATTGTCAGTGTAATGGTGCAGGTGTTTAACATGGCTAGGTTGGTAGCAAACTCTCCTCTCAGTCAGAAGATTGTGAGTTTAAGTCACAAATTGGAATCTGACTTCAAAATTGAGGCTAACACTTCAGTGCAACACTGGACTGTCAATCAGAGAAGACGTTACACCGAGGTCCCATCTGCCAATCTTTTGGTTATGCATTAAACATCTACATTTTACATTAAGACGACATTTTAGAAGACTGTATATATGACACACAAGTCAAGTCATGAGTGCTGAGGCTGAGCATCACCCTGGCCTTTTGCACCACAGTTATGCACACACTGGATCTTCTGATAGGTTTAGCCATAACGGGAGATTGGTGGCTTTGTTAATTTAAACCATCTCAGCCTCTCAAACCAATGAAAGTAAAGTGCAAGCAGTTGTTATTTTTAGTTTTGCACTTCCGCCCCTCTGTGGACTAGAGGTTAAAGATGCACGCTTTTACCTTTACACGTATTCTCCCGCACATCTGGCAGCTGCAGGCTGAGAGAGGTCTCACTGGGCTTCAGCTCTTTCCTCCACTGTGTGCTCGAACTTCCTTGGTCCATACTCAGCTCCTGAATCTCTGACTGGGTTGCCAGCTTCTCTCGCGACACCTTCTTCTCACCTTGTTTTCTGTTCCCCCAGAATCTCATCCGCCCCTTTAGAGGAGCTCTATGGGTGCAAATTCAAATGGTTAATTTCAAAGGCAGTAGCTCCTGGATCATTGTGGTTACCACATGGGAGCAACAACAGAAAGTGAACGAGTGGAAAGACTGCGCACTTGGTGACCTGACACATACCACACCTTGCTGCTTCAGCATAGTTGAGTTCATATGTTTTTCGAACTGTCTGAATTAATGTTCTGAATCCTCTTTGAAACATAACAGAATTCTCACAGTGCAAGTATTGCGCGAATGGTAGAAAATCTCACAAAACATGCACATTTTTCCAATGCTTGTCTAAAATATTGTTAGTTCCACTCACTTCTAACACTTCTGAATATTGCCCACTCTCATTCTGGGACGAAGAAGAAGCACAGCCATTGGTAATAATAATAATAATCCTTGCATTTGATATAACGCTTTTCACGTCTTCTAGATGTCTCAAAGCGCTTCACAGAAGACTGTAAAGTGAATTGACTGTATATCTTGTGGGCGAAATATAGTCAAATATAATGGCAAGACAGGTACTGCAGATTGTAGGGAATGGTGGGAGGTTATGCAAGGAGATTAGAACACAATGTTCTCACAAGGCATGCATATCTGTCAAAGCTTGTCTAAAATATTGCTAGTTCCACTCATTTCTAACACATGAATTAATCTCTTCTCACACGGTCTGCTTGAAATATTTGCCCATAACAAGTGGTGTACAATACTTTCTCCATAAATAATCCTATCCTCAGTACCTGCCATCTGACGGCGTGCTCTTCTGTGCGGTGTCTGGCCTGCCCAGCTCATCCTGGGATTGTGCTTTGTGCAGCTTCTTTTGCTCTTCATTTCTGCAAGACTGTATCTGCAAGATAGGGCATGAGCTAGAACCATCAAGACCATCACTAACCTTTGCCTCCGGTGGAGAAAACAACTCACAGAAAAAAAATGGTCGTTTATAAAACTGACAACAGTCAACTTGCAGTACCTATAAAAGCTAAAACATTTAGGACAAGTAGTAAAACCCATACAAACAAAGTTTACAAACATAACAAACCATTACAAAAGTAGATACTAAAACTATATAGAGGTGAACACGTGCTAATTATGTGTTAAAAGGATTTTCATCTGTCACTACAAAAACTCCTGGCTGGCCATAAAGCCAACATAAAGCGCAGCGTTCTTGCAACAAGCTATTCAAGGAACAAGCTATTCAAGGAAAACTCCATGAAGTCTTTTCTTCTCCTTCCACAATATAAAAATATAAGACGTGCACATTACAATTGAATAATAAAGGAATGAACGACGCATTGCTATAAATGTACTCTTACATTGTTGTTCCGATGAATCAAATTAATTCCTTGCTTTTTGCAAAAGGCATCTCGGAAATTTTAAGTCCTTACTTTGACTTTTCTGCATCTTAGTTCACATTATAATAGCAGCACTGGGAAATTCATAGGATTTCAGTGACCACAGAAGTCCTGCAGGTGGTGGTGTTTCATTAGGAACTGCACCAGACTGGTCCAACACAGATGATTTGCACGGCATTTGAAGGGGGGAAAAATCTAGCAGCTAAACCAGATTCCGACCTTTCAGTTTGTAAAAAGAAACCCAGAAAGGGCAATGTTTGGCTTCTGAACTAAATGTCGGCAATACCTGAATAACAATAACAATATAGCAAATAAGCCATCGAGTGTCTGCACAAAACAATTAGTGTCTATTATATTGAAAGTTTCAAAGCACTCCAGAGTTTTCTGTGTAAAGTGATTAATTATAAATGAATTTCACTGCTAATTTGCCACAATGTCCCACAAACAGCCATGAAGTAAGTGACCAATTTTATCTGGCAGATTGCTGGCCAGTAAACTGGGGAAACTCCCATATCTTATTGAATAGTGTTATGGGATTTTTAACATCCATCGACTTGAACAGGCAGACAATGTCTCAGTTGAACATTTCATCTGCAAGACAGTATCTCCGACAATGCAACACTGCACGGGAGCGTCAGCCTAGACTGTGAGCTCATAGTCCCGACATGAAACTTGAACCCACAACCTTCGACTCAAGGGCAGTGGATGCCTCCTGAGGGAGGATATTTTTAAAACACACAGCTCGTTTTTATCAACCTCAATAGGACGAAGGGCTGAATCGACCCACTGAGATTCAAACCCAGATCCCAAGTCTGATTCTATCAAAAGAGAATGCTGCAGAGTTTACTTAATATAGAGGAGGCTTCCTAAATCTTATCACGTTCTTCTTACATTCTCCACAATGATTTTTGCTCTCTTTTTGGTCTACAATTTCACGGCTGAGAATGAGAGATTGAGAAGGGTGACGAGAAATTAGCTTGCCTAGTCTTAAACACCTACCCATGGCCACTTGAGTCTGATTCTCAGCCCCCCTCACTAAGTAGAGCAACCCAGGCACTGAACAATGGTTGACTGACCTACTTCGCTTTCCTCTCCTTTTTAGGATTAATGAGATGCCATCACCTTGTTTCTCCCCAGACAGTCAAACAGAGTTTGGGAACTCTCTGTGTGAGGAGCGGTCAGGGTGAACCTGGACCAACCTTTAACAATAACACAATAACAAAGCAGTTGCACATTTCTGAGTTATGCCAACCAGTTTCTCAATCCTAGCAAAATCCCACACGTAGAGGACCTCAGCACTGCAAGCCAATCACATTTTATCAGCCCAATGCTTTGATTTGGTAGTTCGCAGCTGGAAATTAAAATTGGTTACTTTACCCACTGTTCCAAGCAAACGTCACATAATAAATTCTGAGCCGTAACCTCGGCTGCTTAGTAAATCTTCTGTCCAGATCACGAGTCGTAATAAGGAAAGGCTTCCACATATTTCCATTCAGATCAAAGATTTCATATATGATACTCAACTACCTTGTAAACACACTCAACTTCACAGAGGGTGGATGATGGTCACTGAAAATTGTATAATATGGTGAAAAACAGAAACTTCATAAATTTAACCATTGCTCTTGCTTCCGTTTCAGTTTGATATATGTCTGAACAGACACACCCTGTGAACAGAAACCAACGCAAGCACAATGATTGTGAACAGAAAATATTGACTTCTATTGAATTAACAAAAATTCTCTATTTTGATCGACAATGCAGTTTTATAAAATACTCAGCAGTATATATACCTTTTACACATCACCAAAAATAAGCCAGTGGGGAAGGGAAAAGTGCTTTAGCAGCTGGATAATTCTCCACGATGCTGTTAATAAACCCATGGGTTAGAATACAGATTGATCCAAGTGTTAATGTGAAAGAAAGAGAGTTGTGAGTGAGTACAAATCCAGAGGAGTTCTTTAGCTATGGCATGCAGTAATTTGCTAAATGGATATTACTCCAAGTGTGTGATGAAGGCTGCACTGGCTGAGAGCACCAAGGCTAGCAGGGGCCAGTGCAGCAGATTTGCTTAGTAACGTGGCAACACAACCCACCCAGTAATCATGAGCTTAGATCTGTAGTTCAGCACAGATTTCTAGCACAGGACAGTGGTACTTAAAGACCCAACTATGTGGTTGTTTTAAACAGGAAACACTCAAACACATTTGAAAGTGCCTTAATCTTAATTATACTTTTTTTTACTAGTTTTGCATATTTCTCTAGCAGTAAATCAGCCTTCCTTCTACATCGCACGGTTATGTACAGTTTGTGGACTTGCATCTCCTGACACAAGAACACGGACATAAGATGTTGGAGTTTAACGAATTTCCTTGGCTAAAATTACATTAGAATAAACTAGCTCCAGAAGTGGGTAAATTGGTCTTATTGTAAGACTTTTTGCAGGGAAGCCAGGTCAAGCTCATCACCTGGATCTCACAATCAATTCATATAAATAAAGTTATATTTCCACTTCATTACAAAGCTCTATTCTAGTGTTGCAGCCAGCGTGACATTGGCAATTTTTAACTCAGCTGCAGAACAGGAAACTCAAGTGCGCTTAAAAGAAACTTGATAACCGTCACTCGGAAAGATTAACTCCTGCAGCTCTCTTCCCAGTACCCGTCTTGCTGTGAGGCCAGTTCCACTCGGCCTGCACTTCATTACTATTTGAACTGTTCCATGTGCATAGTGAATACGTTGATCAGATTGCTCAGGAAGGCACTAGTGCGAGAAATTTCAGGAGGGATTTAGATAATAATCCTTGCGTTTGATATAGCACCTTGTCACGTCATTGAGACGTCTCAAAGCGCTTCACAGGATATACTGTAAAGTGGACTGACTCTATATTTTGTAGGCGAAACGCACAGCTGTGTCCCACATTGCATAGTCGTGGATTGAGTGACCAAATGTTTTTTTTCATTTTGAAGGGTTTATTACCAGAAAGCGATTAGGATAGTAATATGAATGGGTTGGGGCTGATACATAAAATGCAAGCAATGGTAGCCATACCAATCAGGATGATCTCTTCCTTTGAATCATATGGCACCTCATTTCTACACTGATATTTTTTAAGTTGCAATGTGCCAAATGCAGCGAACATACTAGGCTCCTATCTCGGTTCTGTGTAGTGAGCTGGTCATGTCACTGTTATTTACAGACAACCAAGTGGTGGCCATCAATCCTTAAAATCAATACTGCCCAAAGTAATAAGGATGTACTTTCAGAAGGAAGTGCGATTATTTATGCTAACCAGCACAAATCAGTAGAGCACTGGAATTTCCTACACTGAGAACAATAATTATCTTTCTTCAAATGCTAGAGATGAGATTTTTCTCATGTTGGACTGGGGGGGGGGGGGGGCATGAGGAGAAAGCAAATTGAAGACAAAGGGACTGTATCAATGTGCAAAGTGTTTCCCACTAAAACCTGAAAGGGAGTGGAGGTTAAGCAGTTCTAGATGTCAGTATTGCTTTCTACCCCGCAGTAAGGGTTAGCAAAGAGACGCTCCCACATCAGCCACGTTCTATTTACCATTTCTGAGTCACTGTAACAGGCCAGTCCGGCACTGTTCTTGGGTCTCAGCTCGGGACTGGGTTGGTCGGGGGAATGAGGGAGTTCGACGGAGCGTTCATCATACTCGTCTTCCTCAGTCTCTCCCTCCCCTTCAGCGTTAGGAGCTCTAGTCAAGAAATCAGAGCGTGTCCGGGCCATGCGGGCTTTCTTTTTATGTGCTGGTCTTGCAACCTGATTGACCAAATAACACAAAAGTAAAAACACAAACGACCAGCAGACAGAGTCTGGGGCTGGCTGGATCAGCGAGAAGCCTAAAGAACGCATCCGCAGCCCTGCTGTATAGCCGGAGCTGCGTGTGGTGCACTCAAAAAATAAACTGAGGGGACGATAAAAAGGAAAAGCAGTAAACTGAAAAACATGGCAGTTAATGTTCCCGAACGTCAATGCTTGCACGGATTTTTGTTTCAAAAAAAGGAACGTGATAAAAAGGGCATCAGGTTAATGAAGTGTATTCCTTGCTTATGTGCTGCAAATCCGTAGCTTCAGGTTTTCGCAACCTTGCTGGGTTTCAAAGGTAGCAGCCCAGTACAAGATTTATTCTAACCATTACTGTGTACACTGTTTGCCGATGTTCTTTTAGTTACCGTAACCCTTGTGCCCCCTTACTCTCTGATTTCCTTTATAAAGTGCCAAGGAAATTACTTACATCTGTTCCTTTTAGTGGAGACATTTTCACAATCTTCTGCTTGGAGGCTCGTTCTTCTTTAGGAATTGCAGGACATCTTTCTAGATTTGTAGAATCCTTGTCAACTCTGTGAAATGCAAAAGCATGGGAATTGCAAGGCTGGCGAATATCTCAGGAACTATCCAGTGACTCATGGTGAAGATTGCAAGTGTGTGTGGATGAGGTGCAGCTTTGCTGTTCCCTGCCTTCCCCATGTACTCACTGTTCATTGACCAGGCTCATGGTAAAAAAAAAATGGCCCATTAGAATGAGGTGTTGGAAAGCACCCAGCTTTTGTGGAGCCATATTCCAGCATGAGTCACCGCTTTACCTTATACTTTGCAAACTGAATATGTATTTATTATATTGAGCACATGAGCTGCACAATTTAATTAAGAAAAAAAGACTCAAATACTGCAATGCATGTTTCAACTATCTTTTGGGTAACCTCAGCAATGGCAATGTTGACATCTGGGAACATTTGGAACCTACTTACCATAGTCTCAATGCACTCCACTCACCAAAAGTACATTTTCATTAATTCTTCATTCTCATTTCTTTTCCATCATTTGAAAAGAAGTATTCATTATTACTGATGGTTCTAACTCACTATACAGTAGTTAACAAGTGGAGAACGTGACCTTTCTCTGCTACTTGTGTCAAGAGGAAATAATAAAATAAAGCTCAGAACTGAATAAAGCAGGGCTTTAAATCACCAAATGACCAAAATTGCACATAAGCTTTATATTCAGAGAGCTAAATGCACACCAAAAAAAGCATGACTACTCATCTATAAATTGGCCTACCTACAATTCTGAGAGATAAGCATACAAGATGTAAAGGATCTGAATTGTCACACTCAGACATCAATACAAGGTCTGGGAGAACAACCCTTAAGCTCATTGAAAGCATTATTGTTCTGTTATACCAGCATATCAAGCCCTTTATATCAGCTCAATATCTGTACATTTTTTGCTCCTTCCACATTACATTCAGCGCCAACCAGACACCTTCCTCTGATCAAGAGCGTGGAAAGTGACATAGGATGATTCATCCCCGCATTCACTGGAAAAGAGCCTAGTTCCACAGTTTGTGAGTAAATAACTGGCAGAAATATGCACTCCATACCCCACATTGCAGCAGCTTCAAGAGATGGCCACACAAGATCTTAATTAAATTCTTTAACTCAGTTAATTCAGAATGCAAATGAAAGAATCTGATATCCACCTACTTGCTTAGTGTTGTCTTGGGCAGAAAGAATAGGACATTGATCCTCTCATTGGTGGTGGCATCTGTTGTCTCTTCCCTTGCACCTCCAATCGCTTTCTGTGCTTTTGGCTGGCGAACTCGTTCTACGCCAGCAGCTGGCTCTCGAGCTTCCAAGCTGATTTTAGGGCTCCAGCCATCCGACTTGTTACTTTCCTGGAATCCACCTTTCGTTTCAAAGAACATGCTGATCGTTCTGTCTTTAGCTCTGGACTGACCCGAAGTACCTTCATTTTCAGAAGCCTCTGGAGTGCTCAGCATTTTAAGCTCAATAGCGGATGTTGAAAGAGATCAGAAGTGATGTTTGGTTCACACTTTTTCTCTGGGTGCGATACAGGGAAGAGCTGTGATTTATTTCCTCCTCTACTCGGAGAGCTCAGAGAAATTGGGGGTGAATCGTTTTGCCTGTTCTGTTCTATCTTCTGCAGCGCCTCGCCTCGCTGCCTCTCAAAAAGGTCCTTCTCTTGCCTTTCAAAGACCTTGCGCTGTTTCTCCAGGATCTCCTTCTGCTGCCTGATCTGGTCCATCATCTCCTTCTCGTTCTGTTGCTGTTTCTGCTTCTGTCGCTCAGCCTGCTGCACGTTCAACTGTTCGAGTTTCTCCAGAACACCGAACTCGGGGACGGTGTCACCAAGCTCGTCAGCCGCTTTAGCAGGCAGCTCACTGTGAGGCGATTCATCAAGAGAGGGCTGAAGGCATAAATCTTTGTCACCTTCTTCCAACTCTACACCAGTCTTAGATCCAACAGTGGCATCAAAGTGGTCTGTGCGTGTAGTGAAAAAGTCATTTGGCAAATGACTGCTGGATAAATGGTTTGGCATCTGGAGATAGGAGTGGCTACAAACTAGTCTGGGACAAGACGGCAAAATATTGTTTGGTTTTGGACTGGTTGGTCGGTCTTCAGAATTCAATTGTTGAAAAGAAGACTGATTATTGGCTAGTTTGGGACTTGTGGAATTAATACTCAAGCAGTTTGTATCTGTCGGGGAAGAAGGGGAAGACACCTTGTCTTCATTGGGTGTGAGAGCAGTGGGTAGTGCGTGGTCATTCTGCCTGGGACTTGTCGACAGAATATCCTGAGCATCAATAAGACCGGACTCAAAAGTTGGCTCATCGGAGACGGACTCTTTTCTCTTCTCACTGTCTTCACAGCTGGGGACCTCGAAGCTGCCTCTGGAGCTCTCGCTATCTGGAGTTCCCTGGGGCGACAGGGAGTTCGCACTATCAGCTGTCTGCTCGGTGGACCAGCGCCTCTCCTCCGAAGGAGACACTCCACCGGATCGCACTTTTAGCAGTTCCAGGCTGAAGATAGCCTGCTCCAACTCTCGCATTCGCCTGCTGTGCCTCTTTGCACGAACCACCTTCTGTTTATCTGGATCACCGGAGAGAGACTTGGGTCTCTCCCGCACCAGAACACCCTGCACTGTGCTCGAACTATTGGCAAAGTCTGAAGTGCTGCCCAGCACATCCACAGAGCTATCGTTATATTCAGGACGGAATTCCTCTGTCTGATCATGTGGAACACTGCTTTGCTTTGTGGCTGGGTGGGTCTCATTCAGATCACGTTCCAAAAAGTGCATGTCAGTCCTCAGGTAGTTAGAATTTGTTACGTAGGGGGCGGAAGACTTTTTCTGTTCAATAAGTTTGAGATTCACGGAGGGATCGTTCTGGTCAGTCATTTCGGGAAGATTTTGGCTCAGGGAGCAAGCGTTTAAAGTTCCATTGTTCTCACCCTCCAACTCTTTTTCCTGTTCTCCAAGTTTCCCTTCTGTTAGCAATCGAAATCTGAAATGAAAAGCAGAAGGAATTGAAAGGTATTGATCAACGCCTGAGTGAATTCTTCTGATTCAACTGAAGGTCAGTGAACTGCATAAAAATCGAGGAGCAGACTAAATCTAATACACAGAGGAAAGCCCATCAGTCCATCAAGTCTCTGTTACTGCCAGATCTTACACTGAAGCAAACAACTCTTTAATACCAATTCTCCGCTCTCTCTCTTGCCCTTTTAAATTAATCATCTTCAAATGTCCATCTAATTTCCCGTTTAAATATTTTTATGATCCAGAATCTATGAACTTTACAGGAGATCATTCAGCCCATTACATCTGTGCCAGGTCTCCATCCATGCAGGCTTACTCCCCTGCCCTTTCCCTGTGTAGATGTATACTTTTCTTTTTCAAATATTTATTTAATTCTCTTATAAAAGCTCAATAGCCACTCATGGATAACATAAGCAAATGGGAGGAGGCAGGATGTAATTAGGTACATTATTAGTAAACTAGTTCATCTGTAATAGCCACACATCATAACTCACGTTATAATGTCAGCAGAGCTAAAGGAGCTCATGTTAAACCTCTGTTGGCTATATCCATGGCAGCAAGCACAACCAGGCATTTATTCTATTGGTTACAGTGTACAGTCCATGTCTCAGCAAGCTAGGTCAGTGGAAACAAAAGCAGAGAAATGCCCTTTTTCCACACTTACCTTTGCCGTGTTAGGTATCCTCTGCTCACTGCTTGAAATCGTATGATGATCTGCCGGAGAGCACGGTAGGCTCGCATGTCCCTGTATCTCCGCCATGCTATCTGTAAGCAGAGAGCTGCCAGCCGTCTTCTCCAGTACTGCTGCCAGCTCCTCTGTATGATGGTGGCAGCAGCACGCATCTGCACAAATGTCTTTCTCTGTTGGTAGCTTTTCCACGTGGCCTGAATGCTGGTCGCTGCAGTGTTTAGGACAGTGTGGTTTGTCTCATTGAGGTTCTGCCTCATTTTATAATTTTGCCAATAGATCTACAGTGTGGGGAAAAAAAAAGGACAGATCATTTGTGATCTCCAAAACTGCACGTAAAGCAAGAAAGATTTGATTCTTCTTGTGCACAGAGGCTAAAGAATTCCCATAAACATGAAATATTCATGACGTCTTTCTTCAGCTCGAGATGAGTTAGCCACATTTGGGGTCACAATTGATCTCAACTTCCCTGGGTTCCCGCTACTGATCGCTATGCAGTGATCACCGTTTCCCCCATCCCCCCTCACCCTCAGGAGCATGTCTCAAAATGATTCACAGTGCTGCATGGGCAAGAGAGCTGCAGTAGGAGACCAGGGTCATACAACTAGAGAATGGAAATGTTCTATCACATTCTCACCTGGATAACAACAGCTGCCCGCTTCATTTGGAGGAACAACTTTCTCTCGAGTACAGCCCGGAACCAGCTCTGAAGCAGGACGATGCGTCTCACAACCTCTGTGTGCAGCATGCTCTGCAGCCGCTGCCGCTCACTTTCCTTCGTGAAAATCTAAGGGAAGCACGCAAATAAAGCACAGGGACCAATGCTACAACACTCGCAATAACAGAACGCAGCAAGCTCAAACCGGCACTTCCAAAAACAATGTACTGTTATCTCAAAGCACTTCTCATCAATGATGGGGATGATTGATCAGAGAGCAGATGAGATGGAGTTTGATGATATTAACCAAAGTGCATGGTTAAAGAGAGATTTTTCTGAGCGTTTTGAAGACAGGGAGAGAAAGGTGCAAGATGAAGGGATTTGGAGAGAGAGAACCAGCGATTGGGGGTGTAAGGGCCGATGGCTAAGTCACCGATGATGGAAGGAAAACAGTGAGCAACAAACAGTAGACAGTGCAAAGATGGCAGGGCAAGGTTGGGAGAAAAGGACTGGAGAAGCATTGGAAGGACCAACAATAATAATGCATTTTACTCCCATTTCTCTCAACTCGAGATTATTTCCACTGATTTTAGATCATTTAAGATGCAACCTCCTTGACTCAGCTGAAATTACACTGATCAGGTTTATGAAACAACTCATCACATTCACTGATGCCACCCATAGATTTTCCAGGTGGATGGTAAAGATGCTGTGAATCTATTGGAAAAGAGGACTTTCTCTCAGAATCTTATCCAACAATGTTCCAGATTAATTGGTCATTCACCTGAGCTATTTGTGGGACCAATAGCTGCCACGTTTATCTACTGATACAGTCATTACTTTTGAAGCACTTTGAGATGTTACAACATAAGGTGCTACAAAATTGCTTGTTTTCTGCTGCATATATTATATTTTGACATTTTGATCAAGAACGGAGTGATTTAGTTATCAATCCTAAATTAACTATTTCATGCCAAGGCCTGTAACATATCCCCCAACCTACGTACCATTGTTTTTCCTACTTGATAATTGTCTGGGTTGAGGTCAGCTTCTCTCATAAACTCTTGAATACTGCACTGGGAAGGAACCGTACCTTGCAGCAACAGAACATGGAAATGGTCCACAAATTCCTGAAACATTTATAGACACGCGTTACAAAATGCAACATCCTCCACAGTACATTCTGGCATGAGGAATGTGGGAAGAGGGGTGGAACGACGACCATGTATGAGAACAGTACACCAATGCTTTAAACACAACATTCCACCATTTACTGAACCAAGACAATCAACAATTAATGAAGAAGCAATAATAAATCTCCCTCTTCAGTCATAAAGAACATTTAATGAAATGCAACTTTCAGACGTTACTGTACTTATTGGTCTCTCAACAAAATTGGCACATTGAGATAGTGGAGGCACGAGATTCCTTTGCTAGTTTGACATGGATAAATGGGTTAAAGAGGTAAAGAGTGCTAAACCTGTGTGAATCAATTAGTTTGGCCACAGTGGTAGTGTTGCATCATGTTTTCAAGCACTTTGGAAAGTGGTTCCATTTTGCTGAGTGCATTGAGAGTATATTCACTCACCTGGAACGAGTACTTAATACTGTAGCCTGATTGTCGGATTCTGACAGTTTCCAGCATGCCTGTGTAGCGCAGCTGCCTCAGTACCAGGTGATCATTGAAACGCAACGGAAGCTATAACAGTAACACAGAATAGCTTGAGCTGTGAGGACAACATACTCAACACTTGCAAACCACATAGGACGCACTGCCTCAATTGTACATTACTACAGTACAACAGCTTTGAAACCTAGCCATACAGACCCTGATTTAGCTCATCTTATTATTATTACCTCAATTTAGGCAGCAGCTGGAGCTACAAATGGCCTTAGTGCTGAAAAATGAAAAATTAGTCAAGGATTCTAGTCCGGTTAGAAAGTCATGTGCCTTTTAGAATGGGTGAGGACAGATGTGATACCCTCATGGGCAAATCATCGATTGGGAATCCCAGCACCCTAAATCCAAACATATCGGTGTTTTGGACGAAAGAAAAGCAAGGAGACGGAGGGGAGGTGAGCAAAACCTGCGGTAAATAAATAGTGGATTGCAAATTACCTTTTCTGCATTTGATCGAATACATTTGACAAAGTATGGTTCCGCCTGTCCAAGTGTCTCCATGAGCTTGTTGAGTGATGCCTGTTTTGTACAAAGAGAATGTAGTAGTTTGTTACATCAGTTGGGTTCTTGTGACCAAAATCAGTTGCAAGTAAAGGAATTAATTCAAGAATCTCAACAAGATTACTCTGTCTGAAACAAGAAACACACACGATTCTCTCTATTCTTAAAAAGCCCATGTATACAGAGAAGCCCCTCTGAAAACTCTGAGTAAAAAAGGAGATGGAGCAAATGCAACACTTTTATTACTACAGCCTCACTTCCTGTGCAAACAATTCACGAGCAATTCACAGTTCAGGTAGTTTGACCGGTCTATGTACCCTTCTCTTCAGCAAAGTTTTTCTTGGTTCTCCCCACCCCCAAAATGTATGGCAATCAAGAATTAACATCTCCCATAATACAGTACCCACCAGTTCCCTTTCTTTCCCTAGCAGCCACAGCATCCTTGTGTCCCAGAATATTCAATTTTCTGTACCTATCTAGCATCATAACAATCAGCCTCATACTAATCAGATATTTATTCCCATGGAAGGAAATTAATAATCCGTTACTTTTCTTCCTAGAATCAGCACAGGAGGAGGCAGTTCGGACCTGTCCAAAGCTATTAATCAACAAAGAATTAACTAGTTGATCTGAGTCTATTCCGCATATCCGGCTTGAAAGCTGTTAATTTTATACTTGTGTCCTCTAGCTCAAATTCCCCAGTAGGGGCTTGAACCAATAACCTTTTGGTGTAGTGGAGATCTGCCTTACACACTACGCAAACTAACACATCCCAGATGAACTACTACAAAAGGCACACATAATTTTAAACACCCAAAGTGCACTTCCTGAATTAATAGCTGCTGCATAACAAAACATCAGGGAAAGTATTGGATAGTTCAACATTCAGATACACCCTTGCAATTCACAGAGTTGCACATATGATTTAACAACTGTAAGGAGTTTTGTCTGAAATATTCAGAAGTGATAAGAAACTATGTGAAACGCTACTATTACTGTAATAATTAGGAGGAAGAACAAGTGGAACTCCATCTTGTCCTTACCTGGAACTGGGCACTGATACTGGGCGGTTTCTTCTTTTTGTGTAAATGGAGCAGAGATTTGGTGATGCGGTCGTGAAGTGTCATGCTTGCTATGTACTTCAGGGTCCTCACATCTAACAAGTGCTGGAAGTTCAAACAGAGACACCAACATCAGAGTATTTCACTCATAAGGTGTTGAAGACAACACCACCAACAACAAAATGACATTTGTATAGCGCCTTTCACGTCGGGAGGACGTCTCAAGGCGCTGGACAGACAGAGTTATGGATCCGAGCTGGGGGTCGGGTGGGGGCAGGGGGGGGGAACAGGGAGATCGAAAGCACGGTCGAAGAGGACACACAGAACAAAAAAAATGAAGGCTCGACTTACCTTAGGCAGGGCAGGTTTGCTTTTGGAATAACGGTTCCTCCTGGTAAAAGGAAACAGGTATCAAAAAACAAGCTCTTCATTTTTTTCTCATTGTTATGGCAAATAATGGAGTTGCTCATAAGTAGGGATTACCAACATGAGAAGGAGAGCTTCCAGTGAGTGCCTGGAGCTTCTTGTATTAGTGAATAATCATCATCTCTATACTCACATTAGGATGCCATGGGCTCGTTCCAGAAGTTTACTACTAGCAGAACTCAAGAAGATGCCTTCATCGTCGATCAGTGAGTGGCTGGAGGACAGTCTCGCAGCCTGGACCCCAGTTCTTCCATTCCAACTCATCCCATGCAGCTCACTGAAGAACCAAACAAGAGATAGAGAGGGAGAAAACTAGCACAACTGGACTGTCACTGCAAAACACTCATGTGGATACACCAGCAAGACAGATGGACATGAACACAGAGTACATTCATTATGTGCACATTTTAAAATTCAATTGCACACATCTATGTGTTTTAGGTCTATAGATTCAAGTTCTCAATTAACTCAACCCACAAGTCCTAGCACTGAGGGCACAAGCAACAGCAACAACAACTTGCACTTATATAGCGCCATTCATGCAGAGTAGCGTCCCAGAGCGTTTCTCAGTGGCGGAGTCTAAGCATTCATTACAGGTTTACATGAGGTGCAACAATGCACACTGATGGCTTCTACCATGCAGTCAATCTGCAACAATGTCATTTGTATTTCTCTTGAATGCAGCTCTCTGCTTGTTGCAAATTAGAAGGGACTAAAAAAAACATTCCAGATACAACTACTGCTCAATGAGTAATTAGTGCACTTACACGACTCATCGTTCATTAAAACAGCATTACCAAAACAGTTTAATGCAATGTATGGAAATAATTTTGCAATAATCTTAATGGAATTCATACAATTACTTCCATACACACTATATGTTGAAGTGATGCCAAAAGTGTAACAAGGTCCATTAGGGCTTTTGGCTACCACTATTCAGAAATGGTTTGCATTTCCGATTCCATTTAACCATCAAAATACCTTGCACTGTACCAGCTATGCATGTGGATTAAAATGCAGTAGGAATTGAAATGGTAGTGCTCAATACCATTAGTATCCAGCAGTATTCTCCCAGTTAACGGATCAACGCAAGATTTCAAGCAAGACTCTTATAAACCCTAGTACAATGAGATGCAAATGTATGGGGAAACTATTGCACGTTCATCATTAGTGCTGAGCCCTTGTAGAACCCATACAAAGAAAACATACAACCTAATTAACAAAGATTTATTTTTCCAACAAGAATTATAATTGATCCAATTCTCCATCTCCAGAAGCAACAGAAACATTTTGTCTCAGAAGATTAGTGGCACTCAGTATACATCCCACAGTATCTGCTACTCTAGAGTTTTTCTTAAAACTTTCATCTGATAGAACAGGCTTATAATAATAATAATCCTTGCATTTGATATAGTGCTTTTCACGTCGGAAGGACGTCCCAAAGCGCTTCACAGAACACACTGTAAAGTGAATTGACTGTATATTTGTGGGCGAACGCGGCAGCCAATTGCGCACAGCAATGTCCCACAAACAGTCGTAGATTGAAAATGACCAATTTTTTTTTGAGGGATTATTATTAGGCGTGTGGAGTAAGGAAACTTGCCCAAGGTTTCGCCCTGCCGGGAATTGAACTCAGGTATCTCGCTTGCAAAGCGAGTGCTCTAACCACTGAGCTACAGGACTCCACGCGTCCTATAAAATAGCTGAACAAATGTGATCAGTTTTTAGTCAATTAAATAACTGCAGAGATATTCTCCGAACTGAACTAATAACTCCCAAACAAATCCTATTTTATAACAAAGGTAAGATCTTGCACAGCTGTAATTCCTTGGAGAAAGGAATCCCTCCCCTAAGCCCCCCCCCCACCCCCGCACCCTCCTCCCCCACCGGGACCACCTTTATTAGCCTGGAAGTAACCTCATGTTTTCAGAATGAAGTCATAAAGGAAGCAGCTGCAAGCATTTCGTGGTTACTGAGCAACATGATGGGGTCTTTTCTGCAGATGATATCTGCATCTCTTTATGAAAATTGCTAAGCACACGTTTACATTGCAGTTAATGATACAATGAGATCATTTCACAGCTGAGAGATTTGTGATGTCAACTCTCGACTGCAATCCATCCACTGCCTGTTCTTTGCAGAGGTTCTGCATCAAAAGCCAGAAAGGTACTACTTACAGCACAAAGGAATTAAATCACAGCTTCTCAGCAATTTTAACTGGCACTGCACAGATTTCTACAGGGACTTTATCTGGGTAACAAACAGCTACATCTGTGGGATTGCGAGTTTTCTTTTCTGTGAAAATGACCTTCCCCAAGGGCACAGTGACCAGCAAGCCGCATGGCTGCATTGGCATGAACTAAACTGGGGAGAATGATGCTGCATTCAACAAATTAACCTAGCGCTGATTTTGATGCTAACAGAACAGCAGGAAGATGAAAAGCGCTGAAAAGTTGCATTACTGAATTAACTCAATGGATGAATTGTCGCCATGGACTGACTCCCTCCTTGTCAATTATTCTTAAAAAGCACTTGCAGCATCAAGATGTGCAACTGATGGGCTGATTACTCATTGCTAAAACAGAAGGAGAGGACTATAGGTTGAACTGCATTCATACATAATTTATACCAGAGATTAAGTCTCACTTATCTTGGAATTTACACCCAGTGACCTCGGTTTCTCTTGCAGCTACAATTGATAGTTTATGGCTTACACAAATAGACAGCTGTAGATGTGTCATATCAGAACATTCTTTGGTCAATAGGATATGCCAAGACTGGGAAGTATTGGAGATAAAATAAGAGCTCAAATAAATAAAATAAGACTGTCTTTTGATCTTCTATCTCTGGTCTATTATTTGGTCCTCACTCCATTGGTTCCAGCCTATTGCTACCATGCCCCTGTTCTCTGGAACTCTCTTCCAAATATACATGCCTTGAAAAGACATGAACCTTTGGATGATATTTTTTAAATTTCTCCTGTATCTGCTTAGTGCTGCCAATACATTTGTCAAGTGCTTTGAGTCATTCTTTCCTGTGAAAGACACTGCAAGTTGCTGTTGATCTCAGGAGTATGTATATGTTCCTGTTTCTACAGAATTACATTTTAAAAATTCTTACCGTGGAGATTTCTCATTGATGGTGTTTGCTCCCTGCAAATCTGACAGAGGCGTCCTGGGACTTTTCCTTGCGATACCTAACACAGCAAAACAATACAAAATTACAAAATTATATTTGTATAGCGCCTTTCACGTCAGGAGGACATCCCAAGGCGCTGGGTGCTGAAAAGAGAAATGGATGCAAGGGGAAGCTGGCAGCAGTGAGGGTGAGGTGTGCATCTGTTGCGGCATGCTGGGTACAGGTTAGGTAAGGTAACCTGTGGCGCCCACCTGCAATGGCACAGCAAGTCTGACAGGGGCAGCAGGAACACTCAGTACAAGGCAAGGAATGCAGGAATCAAGAGCAAGCAGCCACTTTAGAGAGGGAAAAGAATGGAGTTTGAGCAATTCTACTTCAGGTTAAGTGTGAAAGCTGCTGATGTATCCCATTAGAGCTATTAGATTTCCTGCCCACTTCCCCCTAGACCCCCCCCCCCCCACACCACCACACACCATCTCTTCAGGGCAACTACTCAGAAAAATACTGCCATAAGGTTATGTTCAGAACCGCACTCACTACCTGAAGCTAAAGGCAGTCAGAGGAACTGGCATCTTTCACGGGCAGTCTGTCACAATATTCATTTGAGTACCTCTCAACATAAACCCAGCATTAGTCCTGGATCTCAGATGATTCAAAAGCACACATTTGTTAGGAAAAAACATTATAATGAGATTGGGGGTCTGCCACAATCCAACCCCAGAAGAATTAATCATTTCAGTTAATGCCTCATTCAGTGCTTGACGCACAAGTACTAAGAGTGCTGTGCTGCTGTTGGGCCTGACTGGCTGGAATCAGAATGCCAGATGTAGTCAAAGATTGCGTCAGACCTGCAGAACTAGCATTAAACAGACAGAGCTGGGAAAATAGGCACAAACAGGGCATTGAGACCAACACCATTCACTCGTCACCAGAAACCCACAAAGGACCATGGGATGTGCATGCAGGCTGCTTGCAGAGCATTCCAGATTGCATTTTTAGCCTCGGATTCAACCGAAAGTGCACTGAAAACTCTTACAAAGGAAAGCTACAACATTGGGATTTGATCCTCTGCAAGTGATAGCAGTACATGAGTAGCTTTAGATTAATTAGCCTTTTTTAATATAATACAAATAATCTACAATGCGTCCTCTATGAGAGTGGCAGATTGCAAACCGAACATCCCAAAATCTTTTGCTCTTGTGGTTTTCCCCACATGGCTTCTAGGCAGTGGTCTTCATCACTGCTGTAAGGCCCATGTAAAACACGTCCTTGGCCCCCACCGGCACTCGAGAAGAACAAAGTGACGACCTCAAGTCAGGCAGGAACGTAGCATGAATGAAGACCACTGAAGTGAATGCTCTTAGCCTGAGCTTACTGCAGTTATGTGGAATGTCAGAGAGTATTGTGGGATTTGGAGCCTTACTGTACTTCTCCTCCTTGCACCTCTGGAGAATCTCTAAACTCCTCTGATGGACTGGGTGATGCAGAAAGCTAAAACTATCGACACTTTTCAAAACTGGCAACGGAACAGCATCATCATGCCCTTTGGAAGCAAAATAAAAACAAAAAAGAGACTTCAGATAGAAAAAATTATGAAGACAGGAATCTAAAAGATTGAAAGATTTCTAAAAGAACATAAACACCACAGTTATAGTGCAGCACTTTAATCGTCAATATTGGTTCTGGAAAAGGAGGCCGATTTTCTTCATTTAAATTGTTAATCTCTGGTAGATTTGCAGAGGACATTTATAGACATCAAAGTAAGAAAAGGCAGAATTTACATGCTGTGATTATTGGTGAAAGAGGTGTGGTCCTGAACAAAAGCCTGCCAAGAGTGAAGTTTGTTTTCACTGTTGGGAGCCGATTTAAAAGCCAGAGGAAATAATAAAACCCTTCTGAAGAGTTTTGTTGTTTATCATCTAGGTTAATAGCTTCAGTGGGTTTTAACTAGTTCCGGCTATGAAATTCTCAAAATTTAAGCAACCTTTTCTCCAGAGACGCATGCAAATATAGATTTTCTTTAAAAATTAAGACTTGTTGTTTCAATCGTCTCTTTCAGAATTGCCGATCATTTCCACCCAGGTTGTTTCAGCCTCCAATCCAATGGATGCTTATTTCAAACGATTCTGATGGAAGGAACCAATTAAACTGTCTTACATAGTGAATCAAACCCTTGATTCTTCAAGGTATTCACTTTCTGAAGAGTGTGTATCCTATTCTCTAAGCAATGTGCCTCTGGGCCAGAGCAACCATATGGTGTACAATGAAAATATAATACATTACGAATCTAGCAGTTTAATTTTGGAAGGTATTCTCTATTCTGTGATTTGCAGGAGCCAGATTCATAAAATCATAGAAAGTTCACAGAAAGGATGAGGCCATTTAGCCGATCATATCTGCTAGCTGTATCATTGGAGCTAGTTTAATCCCACTGCTGTGCTCTTTCTCTGTATTCTTTAATATTTTGTTTAAATTATTTATCTCATTCCTTTTTGAATGCTTTTATGGACTTGGCTTCAACCCCCAATTTTGGTAATTCATTCCATATATTCTGACAACTCTGCTTAAAGAAAATGATTCTGTTTTATATTCTGTTGATAACTGTTTCAGACAATTCCTTTAAAGAGAATAAAAATGCAATTCAAATCCAATTTGTCTTCTACTAAAGATTACAACTTTTAATCACTGACAAAGGAACATCTCATGTTAATTGAGATTAAGTTAATTGGCAGGTTTTGTGCCTACACTTTGATTTGCTGATCTTTAGTACAGAGAAAGTGAAAGAAACAGAGAAAGGTGCTTCTACACAGAGCAGACGATATAAGGAGCAGAGTTTTACTTTTGCAGAGACGGACCCAAGCAACCAGAGTTCCGCCCAGCCACCACAGCATGATGATGCATCTTTCTAATAATAATAATAATCCTTGCATTTGATATTGCGCCTTATCACATCTTCGAAACGTCTCAAAAGCGCTTCACAGAATATACTGTAAAGTGAATTGACTGTTTAGTTTGTGGGCGAAACACGCAGCGAATTGTTATCCAAATACATCTGTCCAGCTGAAAAGGGAGAGGATTGCACTGAGCAGCAGCTAAACAATCACTTAGTACAATATGGAGATCCACTCACAATAAACAATTTCCTTTTAAAGATAAATTGTTTTGATTTGCTGCCAGTTGCTCAAACTGAAAGGAATGGAACACATAGGACTAATAAAGTGTTCAAAATGGCAGTGTAACCTGTTGAAGTAAATTGAAATGTTAAAAGTACCAGATGCTACCATTAAGCCCCAAAAGGCTCTCTTGCAAGTAGCTCAGAAGACTCGAAACATTTATTTTTCGATCATACCTTAAATCTGTATGGCAAGAAACATACTTTGGTCATGTTCATACAATCTTTTACAGTATAAGGGACACACAGTTTCTGTAAGCCAAAGAACTTCAATGAAACCTGAGCATTTTGAGATACCCATGCAGCGTTTTATCCTGGTTGATTTATGAATGAAGCTACCTCACAAAGTTGTCTGGTAGCACCTATACAGTGATGAATGTGCCGTTCACCTTCTGACAGCCACATTTATCCCAAAGTTAACTGGCGTGAAACACATGTGAGGATTTAAAGAGGTCAAGGTCCAATTGTGCACATTTGTACATGCTACATGATCACAGTGAACCGGAATATTTTGCTGAGTAATTCGCTTGTACTCTGGGCTCTTTCTCCCCCCTCTAAATTCACTGACAGTTGGGATATGTCGCAACATAAAATTCTTCTGGACAGCTAATCCATAAACAGGTTAAATTACTCCAGTCTCCTAACATTTATTAATATATTGTGAACCAAACTGTCCAATATCTCATTCCAGTACCAATATTTCCATCAATTAACATGAGACAAATCATACTGTGTAAATGAAGAAATAAAAGCAGTTTGGTGCCATCATGGCAGGATTTGTTACTTCACCACAGAGGATAGAAATAGGCTGATTCCCATGCAAGTTTTATCAACCACATCGATAAGAATTAAACTGGTATTAGGCCAACTGGTAAATGTAGCTACCAATGTTGCATGTTACAATAGAAGAGAAAAAACTTATCAAAATGGATTGTTAGAAACATTAACGACCGGCACAAAGGTTGAGTTGACCTCTATACTGATTATTTCACTTATAGAGACTGGAGTTTTATTGTAAATCTCTTCCATGGAATTTTATACCTTGAAATAAATTTTCTTTTCGTATCCATCGATCAGTGAAGTGAAAGGGTATTTGGCTTAAGACTGAAACAGCAGTCGGGACCTGTTGGTCATTTAAATGCATTTCCTCGCCTATGTACATATGCACTGAGGTGAGCACTACAGTTAGTATGTTGAAACAGAAAAACATATTGCAAGTCTCAGCATTTTCATAAACCCTCAATCCATTCCTGATTTTCTAAATAGCTTATGGGAGCATTCTCTCTTGTACTTTGTTTGTACAATAAGTATGTGATATTTATCTTCTTACAAAGAAACTCTGGTAGGTCATCTAACTGACCTGAATCGATCTAGTCTTTGCAAGGGTTAATCCAAGCCTACAACAATCCAGGATCATAAATGTTCCTAATTCTCTCATTGAACACATTCTGGACTGACTGAAACATTTTTTATCATTTGGTGACTCCACGTACATGAAGGAAGGTTGGAATTTACTGGCACTGTTGGGAATTTATTGTCTGCACATACATAGTTCATAAGAACACAAGAGGAATGGGATTAAATATCACCCATGTCCATTAGCCTAAGATTCCAACCTTATGTATCCCTATAATACCTTTGCAGAAACTTCCAACGCATTTTCCTCAACAACATGAGAGGCAAAAAGTTGTGTTAGTGCTTCTCTATGCATTGTGTCCTAATCCTGAAAGTTTAACAGTCGCTGTATCTCTCCTTACCAGGTCTCTTCTCAACATAGCGTTTACCGGCCTCTCTGAATGCCACGGCAGCTCGAAAGTAGGATCGCAGTACTGCCCAACGAAAGCCCGCCACAGGGTCAATGCCAATCAAACTGCAAATGAAGGCATTCTTGCTGCTTTTCAGGAGTGCCACAATGTCAGGGCGCATGTGGTCAGTATTCTTCTCTCGAAAGTCCTGCAACAACAGAGGCATTTTAAAAGTCTAATAGCTAATAGATGACACTAATACAGCATCAATCCCTTCTCCCTCAAAAGAGACATCAACTAAATCAAAATGCAAAATTAAATTTGACATTGCCCAACCCGGAGGCACCACCTGCTGCTGCAAAAGCACGCAACCCATGCCCTGTCCTTCACTCTGATTTAAAAATAAAGTGCACGCTGGAAACTGGAATTAAAAAGAAAGCATCGAAAATGACACCGTGAAAGAGTCAGGTTAACATTTTGGATGCAAACCTTCCTCAGTTGCTCTGAAGCAGGAGGCAAGAACCTATCTTTCTCTTTCAACAGCTGATTGACCCACTGAATTTCCTGTTAACTCTGAGCCCTTTAACCCCTCCCTAGAGAAACTAAAAGCCTTGTAATAAAAGGAAGTAGCTCCTTTATTTGCCATGACCCTGGTCTCTGTAACATTGATTTCCAAGAACCACATTATGTATTCCATATCGTTTCGCTCAGCAGAAGCAGGGGACTGACCTTGACTTGGTATTTGACTTTCCCAGCATAGTGCTTTATGATAAAAGCTGGCTCCATCACTGCCGGAAACTCGATGTAATTGTTCCCCTCGTTCTGTCGCTTGAACTTATCCAGCAATGTCTGATTTGTTGCCTGAGGAAAACTGAGATGAAAGAAAAATAAGCACACACAAGACATGTGGTGAAACGTCAGCATCCACACTGAGACAAGAATCCTATTAACTCATCACTTCGCTTTGAGATTCGTTTTTGCAATATACTGCTCAATTCTAAAAATGAAACTTACAGGAACAAGAACTTCAAAATGAAAGAGTTAAGTGATACAAACAGAGTTTACCAGATACACGTAATGCAACAGCACAACACAGGCACAAAGCAGTGTCCCTACAAACACAAACTCAAAGTTAGCTTTATCAAGTTTTTATAGAACAGTAAATGGCATTTGGGATTTAAGACAAAAAAGATTTTACAAAGAGGATGGTTAGAATCTGTAATTCTCGTCTGCAAACTGCTGTTGATGCAGAGTCTATAAATTCTTTCAAGAAAAAGGAACAATAAAGATAATGCATGGAGCAGAAAGGTGGAACTAGATTGAGTGATTCATGCAAAGATAATTTGATGAGCTGAGTTGCATTATATAGAATCCAATGTTATATCAAACACACACGGGCACAAATATACTGTACACGTAAACCCATCCAAATACGCACACAGTGCGTCGCTCGCTGAAAGTACTCACTTGCACTCCTCATCCAGGAGGTGGAGTAAGCCTGTGGGTTTCTTGCTGATGAGATTTATGCAGCTACTGTTGTCTATATAATCAATGTTGTGCCAGCTGATGCCTTCTGCCCTGTACTCCTCCTGGGTGAGGAAATATGTTCAGTCAGTGTCACAGAACATTGAACAATCAGAACCAAACCAGGGTGAAAATCAATTCGGAAATTCACAAAGAATATTTGTTTTCTCAAACTAACTCCAGAGCTATTTCATCCAGGAAACATATTTGATAGCAGAAACCGACTCTATGGCTCCAGCAGTCTGCAAATGGTGAGGACAGGACATGTGGTGTGCATGCCCGTTGCCTGCCCTTGTCTGACGGCACATGTGTGGATTCCCCTGAGGCTTAACTCTCTTTGTCACAAATCCAACTGCAAACCATTTACCGACATGAAATACTCAACAAAACCAATGTCATCTGTGGACACTTAAACAAGTCACCTCACTCCCATCCTCGCACAGCAGGTGTCCAGGGTCCACAAACCGCAGACCTGGCGCCACAATCACAGATCAAAGGTCCCAAATTCCATCTAGTCTTAGCCTGTAAGGCCATTCTCGTTTAAAATTTAAGATCAAGCAGAATTGTGGAAAATCCCTCGATTTAATCTTAACTTGGAAACCAGGTCTTTCTAAGATCTGCTGAACACTGGCTTCCAAATTCAGACTACATTTAACAAATCGGAGTGATCTAAGACTAAGCAAAATAATGGGCGTAAAAGCTTTAAACCTTCTCAGTTTAATGCTGTCTGTGCATCTGTATATCAAGAGCAAGCCAGGGAAATGAAATGTTGCGAAACGTTGGTTAAAAGACAAAATCTGTTGACTATATTTATACGTGAGCAAAGGTCTAAAGGCAGCACTTTCTGTTTAATGTACTCCCCTAGATAAAGGGGAAGAAATGTAGTTTTAATAATTAAATGCACTTTTAATAATAATAATTTGTAATGGAATCCTAGCTGTAGTACGTGGGGCCTGTCTTCCAGTTTGTCCCTGTACTGGGTCTTCTTCTGTACGAGTCTGATCAATGGCTGCTTTTATAACCAGGGCCACTCTTGTGACAGAAAATAAATGCATGCCTCTGTGAGACTCCACTGAATTTCACCAAGCTTTAAGTCAGCTTGGGAGCCAATTCTAAATCAGCCCGATGCCAGAATGTGGAGAACTGGCAGGTACGCAGAAACAGCAGGTTGGTAGTGCTTTTTCCTGGGATTGAGCCACTCCAGATCAGATCAGGTTTACTTGTAGCAGGCGGCATGAAAAATCACTGAATGTAAAGGTAAGAATTCAATAAGTAGACTTTTCAACAAATGACTTTTCCCGCCTACACTTGGGGGAAAGGCTTTGAATAAAATATATTCCTGTAATTTGTTTTTCCTTATTAAGGAATTAATAGAAGTTACTGGACACAACACAGAACCACAGTGAATCAGAATTTTCTCCTTTAGTCAGAGAACCACAATGGTGCAGCCAAAAACATGTCGTTCAAACTATGCTGCTGTATTCAACGCATCTTCAAAACCATTGCTGGCAAACATGTTTTAACATCCACTGGTGAGAAATATCTCACTTTTTAAATGTGCTAATTCAGAAATTCTAACATACTTTCAGAACTGTTTGGGGGGAAAATATTAGCAATGATTCATCTGAAGAAAGAGCAATGGCTTAAATTACACGGTTTGTCATTTTACTGGGCTGTGGTATGCAGACTGATTTGCATCCTCCGCAACAAGGAGAATCTGCCTGGCATCTTCCATAACCTGTGTCCCTCAGCATAGCTGGTGCTCCATGTCTCCCTGGGTCTATCTATAGGCTAGAACTAGAGATGATAACCAGCATTGTTCCCACTATTTCCTCCCCCCCCACCTCCCCTGTCCAGTGGGAGAAAGTAGATATATTCTATAAAATATATCCAGGGCTCCGTAGAATACGGAAACGCATTGTATTTAAACTCAGCCTTTAATAGAGTGACCTGTAGTCTATTCTTTTCACACTGGGATTCTACTTGGTTTGTAATCATTGTGGGATAACTGAGATCAGGAGCATTTGTCATGTGATGCAGACTTCTACTCAGAGTTCCAGTCATTCTTGAGAACAGCCTTCAAGCACACAGGCCAATATGTATTTGCTAAGATACTTAGATTTCAAGCTGTAACATTAAAAGGTTGACAAATTAAGAGCATAGTGGGAGAAGACGATAGCTCCCTAGCCCCAGGTCTCAGAACTAGTCCTGCACTTTATTTCAATATTCAGTAATACAACTCAAGTCTGGAGAGAACAGATTTGCATGGTTTCGGCCACTGCCATATATGACCTCATCTAAAATTCACTTTTATTCCTTAAGGGCTCAACCCACTTGCCAAAGTGATACTGGAATACCTCCAGGCAGCAAAACAACAGCGATGTAATGTGTTTTTGTGTTCCAACGCACACTCTTTCCTAAAGCAGACGGCTGTCTCAGAGGATTATTAATATGAAAGGCATTTGTAACATTTCTATGTTCCCTGTCAGCACTTCCTGGAATTTCTGGAGAATAAAAAATCATAAAAAAGAACTTATAGGTCACAGACAAAAGATATTTATCTTCTGTCTCATTCCCCCCAAAAGCACAACATGCATCAATATTATAAAAATAAGCCTTTTGAATAGTGCGACATAAATATTACGCAGCAAGTATTTTGGAACAGGTTCCTGCCAATGAACAGAGAATGGCAACTGGAGAGACTGAACCAATAAGGAAATACAATATCCAGTGATAATTCATGACCATTTATGGAGCCTTGCATATATTAATAATACTATATTTCCCCAAGGTATGTGGTTAAAGGTTTGGCAGCCTACTAACCAGCTTAACACCATTAGTGTGCTGGTCACAGATGGCACAAATAGTTTTGAACTATTTGAAACTTTTCCAAAATACCTCAGCAAGTGTAGAGACAACACAGGAGACTTAAAACCATGTCTGACCCAGGCTTTATTCTGACTCTATTGAGACTATTCTCGCAGGCAAGTTCATATTTGTCACTAACATGAAACTGTCTCACAGCTGGACACCACACAGGGGTCTGGTCATACATTTGATTTGATATACTCTTCGTAAGAGCTTCAACAACAAAAAGCAAGACGGCCACTGCATTACTTTAAGCCCTTCCACTCAGATACTCAAGACCCTTCAACCACAACATATTTAACAACCTCAAGGTTGGACAAGCACCATCAGCAATAATGGCTGGGCTCCCAGCAGGTTCACCCTACCGACTATAAAAGTACATTTGTGGTATACAATGAGCTGGGAGTAATAGGTTAGTGTGGGTTAGTTTTAGATATAAAAACACATTTAAAAAAAGGGCTGAAAAGCATTTCAAGGCTTCAATCCAGCCTCGGCCACAACAGCATTAGAGGAATCGGGTAACTACAACATAAGGGCTTCGGCTGCTGAAGTGGTATTTTGAAGGTGAAGAAAAGCAGTCTTTGGTCAAGGGCTGGTTTTAGGGCTTAAAAGAAAGCTGAGGGTCAAACAACCAACAACAGGTCTGCGCACTGGCTCCATCAACTTGAATGAGCAAATAGGGAAGTTGATAAGGTCAGAGACAAATAATAATAATAATATTTCTTGCATTCAATATAGCACATTATCACGTTGTTGAGATGTATCAAAGGATATACTGTAATGTGGATTGATTGCGTACTTGTGGGCAAATCGCGGCTGCCAGTTGCGCACAACAATGGATTAACAGTGTATTTTGTGAGTGAAACGTAGCAGCCAGTTTGTGCGCAGCAAAGTCCCACAAACAATCAGGGAGTGAGTGACCCATCTTATTTGGGGATTGTTGGCCAGGACACTGGAGAAACTCAGTTTTCTTTTCAAATAGTGCCATGGTGCTAAGATAGAATAGATGGCTCTAGCATACTTTCTATGATTGCTGATCTATTCAGCCTTGGAGACTCATCTGTAGAATGGTCTCACACACAGACATCAACAGCCACGGCTCAGTTCATTATTGAACACTTACTTCACTGATGGGACCATGTAAACATGCTGCCTTTTGCTCCAGGTCATTTGCACACCAGCCTCAACAGTAAGTGTCAGTTACAAGTAGAAATATCCCAGATGGTTACAACCACTTTTCCTCGTTACTTGCAGACAAGTGTATTTGGAAGCTTGAAAAAAACTCTTATTGCAGCCCCATTTTAAGGCAGAGGCTGGGATTTAGGATGGAGAAAAGATGGAAACAGGTTAATGAAAGAGGGTATTATCTATGAATTGCAGCTAGATCCAATGGAATGGGATGACCTGGTTGTGGGAATGGTACTGTCTAATGTAAATTTGCACCATGCCTGCACAAAAAAATGCAGCACACCATCTTAAAACATATTACACACCCTTAATAATTCAAAGCTCTCTACAGTTTGTAATGTTTGCAAGGCTTAGCTACACTGACACAGCACCTGGTACTGTTTTCAAGAGAGGAGAGAAAATAAGGTAGGGAAAGGGGAAATACACACAAAGATAAGACAGACAATACCCAGTAATGTACTGTACTTGTCTTGCATGTTACCGCTCACAATCACTTATTTGGCACACTCCATGCAGAACAGTAAGAAATCAAACCCAAACAGCACACACAATTTTACCTTTAAGAAACTGTACTTTTCCAGGCACTCTTGATAACCAGAGGAATGTGCAAAGGAAAGATAAAATAAATACAAAATAAAATTCAGTCTATATTACATTAACAACACAAACCAGGGAGTCAAAGTTCAAATAATACTCAATTTGTTCTCGATTTGTTTTGTGTGCCAGAATTGTAGCATTGAAAGCAACTCCCAGGTATGTGGAGAGGCACATTCACAAGCTGTCATCACACAGATCCCAGTACAAAGCTCTGTGTCACAGCTGTCACACATTCAGTTATGTACCATGCTTCAGAACTGCACATACTCTGTGAGAAGTGGATTTGTTTTAACATGCATTTACGACAAAGAACATGTATTCCCACACACCTTCCAGGGAAACAGTAATCTACACACATGTTTGCACTGGCTCCCCTTTATTCCTATAATCTTCACTAGGGAACTCCATCCCCCAGTGCCTTCGCCTTGCTTCCTCCCTTTCCTCCTTCAAGGCCGGTCTCAAGAGCTTTCTCTTTGACCGTGCCTTCAGCTCCCCTCTCGACTCTCTACCCCCTCCTTGCTCCCTCCCTTCCCTCCCCTCACCCTGACCATTTCCCCCCTGCTCGGGTCCTGACCCAACTGTCCAGCGCCTTGGGGCGTCCTCCTGACGTGAAAGGCGCTCTATAAATTAAATATTGTTGTTGTTGTACACATGTGTAATACGGAATGCTAGTTGGATATCCCTGACCTACCCCACCAAACGTTCACAACCCCACTGCTAGCTGATCTCAGAAGGCTTCAGTCAGTGGTGGTCGGTGCTGAAGAAATCCATTGCAAAACTGGGAAACCACTACCTTTCAGTCCACAGAACCTCAATACTATGATGAATGTGACTTCCCTCCATGCCCTACAGTGTACTCAGTACCACCCTCAAATAGCACTTGTCATTGCAATCCTCAAAGCTAAAAGTTACAACTGGCATTGAAGTCAGAGAGCTGAACGGAGGCTTTTGACTCCACACCATCACCTTATTGTGAGCAATTCTTCTGACACGCACCCATTATCATATTACTGAACATGCCATTTCACACAGAAGTAAAACGCCACATTGTCCTTGGTATTTTGACAGCTTCAGCTCCCGCTGAGAGGCATTTATCAACAGTGTACTGGTTAGCCTTTTATCTGTGTGAGTATGTATATGTACATTGGGCATGCATGAGTGGACCTGTACAAACATCGTATGTTCACCCGCTTGCTCCACCCCAACATTTGCATGCTGGCTTTCAGCCACTTTGCCCCTGCCCTCCAGAATTATCTTCCAAAGTCCTTAACCCACCCCTCTGTGTGCTTTCAAACCCCTTTTTTCCTAAAGACCAATTTGCTTGAGTGTGCCTTCAGCCACCTCCCCCTACCTCCCTCCCAGCTCAGACTCACGTTGTCTTTAAACAACGTTTTGAGACATTCTCTCAACGTGAAAGGCATTGTATAAGTGCAAAGTGTTGTGTGTGTACGCCCTTGCATGTTTACATACATTTGTGTGTGGATTCAAGTACCTTACATGTATATGTATACATACATTTGTGTGTGGATTCGACACGCTGAGATCTACGGACAATGCTGCTCAGAAACGGCTTCCTCGTTCAGCACATCACTGCCAAACTCTCACACAGGAGCCGCTTGGAAAAATAGCTGCAGTTCAAGGTTTGCGTATTGGTAATCTAATTACAGGAGTGGATGTCTGGACCTCATGCCGTGTCTCCCAATGAATGAACTCTTTCAGATTGGCTAAAAGGACCAGTTACACTGCAGAGCTGGCTGACAAGATTAAACAGAAAAGGGTTTTGTGCCATTTAAATTAAAAGCAGCTAATAGAAGAACAAAACCAAAATACACAGAACATCAACTTTGTCTACTGGAACAGCTACGTATGCCATTACCTTCATGGGTCGAACAATCCATTCACTCACACAAAGCACAAAAAAAGATTTTTTTTAAAGTAAAGAATACAACTTTGTTCCAAAGGCACTGGCACAGAGCCATCAGGTACTGAGAGTGCTAATCTGATCACTGGTTGATTATCAAAATAACCTTGTTTATAAATACAGTAGAATGCTGGTTATTTCTACACCAATTATCCCCAAATCTATTGATCCGCATACATAATTGTACTCCAATTGACCAAATATGCATTGGGCACCAACCACAATTTGTAATTAAATTGTCCTTAATGCAAAGCCTGCACTCTCTCATACTACAGGCCGCCGAAACCCTCATACATGCATTCATTACATCGAGGCTTGACTATGCAAACTCATTGCTTGTCGGCCTCCCCAATTCCTCCCTCCATAGGCTGCAGATCATGCAGAACTCTGCAGCCCGTGTCCTCCCCCGCACCAGGCTCCGTGACCCTATCACACCCACCCACCCTCGCCCGATTCCACTGGCTTCCCATCACACAGAGGATACAGTTCAAGATCCTGGTCCTCACATTCAAAGCCCTCCATGGTCTTGCTCCCCCCTACCCCTATCATCCTGCCCGCTCCCTCTGCTCAATGGGCTCTGGCCTGCTTCACGTCCTCCGCCTCGCTCGCCCCACTATTGGCGGGCAGGCCTTTTGCAACTCTGCCCCCAGTATCTGGAACTCCATCCCGCAGTCCCTCCGCCTCACCCCCGTTCTTGCCTCCTTCAAGACCCAGCTCAAGACCCTCCTCTTTGACGGTGCTTTCGATCTCCCTGCTTCCCCCCTGTCCTCCACATCTCTGACCCCTATCCCTAGCTCGGGTCCGAAACTCTGTCTGTCCAGCACCTTGGGACGTCCTCCCAATGTGAAAAGCGCTTTATAAATGTAATTTTGTTGTTGTTGTTGCTGCTGCACTGGAATCATGCAATCACTGCACATGAATTTGAGAATGAAACAAATAAATACAATTTTTTTCCAGTTATAAATTATTACTATTATGGATATAAATCTATGGCCAAAAAAACACATCTGTTTGATGTGATAGAAAAGCGACCAAACAAAACAACAAGAGTAAGAAAATAAAGCCTCAAAGTTGTAACACATGAAAAATTGTACTTTGATTGCCAAGAATTTAAACGTGGGCTGCATCATCAAGGCACTTCCCTCTATTATGAAGAACATGAAGCACAAAAACAGTGCAAACTAGAAAATGACCATAAAGGGAAGTGTCTTTCCACCAGAAGAAGGGACAATTTCCAGGCTGGATAGGCCTTCGGAACATCTATCTTACCAATTCAATTTCTCACACGACACCTTTCTGTATCTATTTCTCAATATAACTAACGTAGACACAGAGGGAAACTTTGAACAATAATCTGAAAGAGTTTTGAAACATCCATCTCTACACTGGAATTTTACACAGGTTAAAGATTCCCAATATTCGTTTGGGTTTCCTAATTTTTTGGAATATTTTCCCTTCTAAAAATACATACTCTTGCCAAGGAAGCCTCTGGAAACTTGCCACCCTGAAACAATCACAGGCAGGGTCTGTTAAATCCCAAACTGCAACTGCTCTGCACAGAGATCAATTGTTATCCGAACTGGGTTAGCCCAGGAGGGGATAAGTGTACAGGAAACAGTGTCAGAATAACGTCAAATAAGAAACTGACAGTGACGAAAGAAGCTCTATGAAGGGTAAAATACATTCAAAGAAAGCTACTCATCTCTTGCTTTCTCAGTTATCCATCAAATACTGTACAAACGATGCAACAAAAGAGCATTAAACTCAGGGTGATCCCAGCATCATGCAATAGGAAGAAGGAAAGTTCAAGAAAAGGACTCTAAACATACTCATAAATAGTGCCCCGAGTTGCTATATAAACACAAGTAGTTGTAAATATATAAACTTAACTAGCAGTGCAATTTGAACCAGTAAGAATAATCCTGCTTTTAAAGAGATCATAATATCATCCAACATGGGCAGAGGAAACATTTATTTTGGTGGTATAGTTTTTTTAGGATTGCCAAGTTCATCCATTCCAGGTCCTCCATAACTCAGCAGCCAGCTAATGTTAAAGGTAACAGCCACACAAATCCTGTATCAACTGCATAAATAAGCAAGATTGGCATGGGTATAGCCCAGAGCCACTCGACTGAAGAGAACACAGAGCAGATGTCTGAAGACACAAATCATTTACCTGTTCCAACTTGAAGATGTGCTGATTGAAGTAGTGCTGCAGTCGCTCATTAGCAAAATTTATGCAGAACTGTTCAAAGCTGTTGTTCTCGTAGTCCTCAAAGCCAAAAATATCAAGTACACCGATGGACAGAATCTACAAGAGCAAAAAGGGCATTCATTATAGTAAATATGAAGATAGGTATTATTAAATTAAAAGGTCCAGAGGGATTTACTGTATTTACTGTTTAAAGTATCCCCCACCCAGCTGTATCAGAATCTAGGTCTTACTTTGATGTGCTCCTCCAGGTTGCGGTTGTTAAGAAGTGCATGGTTGATCCGGAACACTATCCAATCGAACAGTGCGCTGTAGAGTGATTTGGCCATGGAGTCTCGGACTGTTACAGCCTGCAAAGCAGACAGAATGGGAGTCAGGCCTGAGCCACATTTGAGTTAGAAACTGTTCAGAGCAGAGCACCAAACAAATCATCAGTGGTATTTATACTGTGAATGGCTCCCTGAAATCCTGTCAATACAAGGTTCAAAAGAATAAAATGACCAAATGTACAGTATACCACTAACATATGTGGACAGGCACAGTAATGCTAATGCTTTTGGATTCCAGTAAGTAACCTAAGAAACGTATCATGGCTCATGCAATAGAAAGCCTAGCTGGTTTAACCTAGCCTAAGTAATTTAATGCCATGGCACCTCCCTACCTCCGGCCTCCTGCAAGTCTCTTGCCACTTCCACCATCCATGGTGGCTGTGCTTTCAGCCACTACACTCCAAGACTCGAGAACCCTCTGCCTCAATCCTCCTTTCCTCCTACTTGCAGGGTTCAGATCACACCTGAAGACCTTCCTCTTCGACAATGCCTACAGTCACCTACCTTCTCTCCCTAGCTTGGAGTCAAACTCTGCCACTGTTAAGCACTTGGAGATGCAACAACATAAACACAAATTATTGTTGTGGCAGAACACTTTACTGAAAACTTTATTGCTGCGTAGCCAAGTACAGTAGCGGTACATACAGCTTCTCTATGCCAAAGAGGGCAAAGCAAGAGCAGCATCACCTAACCTTACATCATTTCCAACCACCACTCCTCCAACTGTACAGATTAATCAAGTATGTAAATTAAGATGTATGTACGTCAACACCTCAATAATCCAACCCAGTAAATGGAGTTTGTTTCTGGCTGATTTTTCTGACAAATAGAAGGACCAGATGCAAAGGCATGTGTGGGGTTATGAAACTCAAATGCTGCACACCATCAGGTCTCAAACAGGAGGTGAGCCAAAAACACACTACGTGGAGCTTGCATAATGCAAACCAGTCACCAGCACAGGAATGCCTTCGCTGCTGTTCCAGTGACAGCAAGACTGGGATGATGCTGCCATTTTCCTTCAGCTGTTCACCGTCCACTGCAAATACACATCCAGCTTGAAACAGACAACTGCAGTATTAATACTTGCATTTCGATACTCACGCTTCTTAAATGAGGGGGAAGAGAAGAATGTTAGCGTATTTATTTAAACTTTGTTTTCAGCTTTGTTTCAACACTAAGTTCTGTTTTTGATTAACAAAGTTCCAGCAATTCCTGCACATGTCTCATGAAAGTTAACATTGGGAAAAAAATATTATTGAGCTGTGTTTTCAATTGTTGCAGCAGTGATGCAAGTTACTAAAAGATCAAGAAATGTAAAGGAACACACACAGTAAGCAGCTTTTCACAAATGGCTTTAATGTATCACAAATGGTAAGCAAGATTACAGAAAAGAACTGCAAAGTGGGGAGAGAATCGTGGAACACTTTGCCGAAAACCAGAGCGAATGGATAATTTGTGTTATATAACCATTCCTCCAAACATCAGTTTGAGGATTTAGTTTGATGAATTACAGAAAGGAATGAGTTGCATTTTTGTTACTGAATGAGGGCAATGGTTGGTAAATAGGACTCTTGCCTGAATTTACTACACTGAGCTAGTCTATCCTTTTGAGCTTGCCCTTTCACTTTGGAACTCCCTTCCCCCACTACCCCTCTGAATTGTCCCCAACCCCTCCCGTCTTTAAATCCCACCTAAAAACCTACCTCTTCGTCCGTAACTACAGCCCCTCCCACTCTGCATCTGACACCATCCCTATGAAGCGCTCCAAGACTTATCCTACGTGAAGAGCACTATATTAAAGCAAGTTGTTGAACTCTGGTAACTACTAACTTGTTCCTAACAAATCTACAAATCTAAAACAAATACAAGATCTTCTGCATATTATTGAAGGGTCTCAAAATGATAAATCTCTGAATGGCAGATTCCACAGCTGTTTAGTAAACTCAGACGAGAGTTCACACCCCGTGTTCAGTAATGATCCAACTCACTCCCACATCCTCGTTCCCAACCTTATTCCTTCCTGCAGAAATATGTCTGTTGAGCATTATTCATAATCCAAAGTTTAACAACATCACTATCCTACTAAAGCTTCTTGAATAAACCAAAGGAGATTGTATAAGAACAAGCTATTCTGACCTATTAAAAGATGCATTACTTTAACCCCAAACAAACTCAATTCCTATATCCTTACAAAAAATGCATAAATATAGGCTGTTTCAAAGATCAGCTTCTTGGAAATTCCAGTAATTAGCAAAAATGGCACGGCCGATTCCAGAGGCATTCATGCCTTTGCAAAACTCAGGTCATCTTGAAATTAGACACAGGTCTTATCTAAAGACAGAGCACATCAGAACACCATTGTTAAGGTCATTGATCACAACTAAAGGTCTGAAGCTAAACCTCACCTCTCATCTCACTCAACTATCGTAACCATAATCACATCTCAAAACACTGCTTTACTGCAACTCCGAGAGAGAAGAGGCTACAGTGTAAGTGCACCATGGCAGCCCCCCCTCAGTGAGTGGAAACATGTTGTGTTGCCCAGTCTGACACCAGCATCTACTTAATGACCCGGCAATCTACTGCAGCTCTGATCTATGAAGATCAATGGGTCTCCCTGTACTCGTTTATGGCACCGATGCATCAGCTCTGTGTTTTGCTCGAGTGTAATGTCTGCATGGAACACACCCAGAGCACTTGTCTACTGGCAGGAAATATCAAAACCTTTCATTCTTCAATCCCTCTGAGTGGGCTGCCTGGATTGCAATCAAAACATTTCTGGAAATAAACTGTTCAAACCTAATAACCAGCCTTGCAGGTTTGTTAAGCTAATTTGATACAGGGTCAAACATTAACCGATTTCCCCTGTCAGATATTGAAGGACCTGCTGTGCATTCCCAACATTGTTTGTACCCTTAATGTAATTTGATTGATTTATCACACCTTTGTTGGCAAATGGGAAATCAAAATAGCAAAACAGCACAACAAGGTTTCAGTTTAAAAGGCCCATTTTAGTAAAAAATCAATGAACCTAAAATGATTTATAGAGGAAGTGTCACATCTCTGTATTTAAAACTCCAGTGAGGAAAGGGGACCAGGGGCGGGAGTGTTTTACAACAACTTGCACTTATATAGCACCCTCTACGCATGGTAGTGTCTCAGAGCGCTTAACAGTGGTGGAGCATGAATCCGAGCCAGGGGTGAGGTGGCTGTAAGCACAGTCAAAGAGGAAAGTTTTCAAGCGGGATTTGAAAGAGGGGAGAGAGGGAGAAAGGTACTGAGCTTTCACTCTGAATAAACTTTAGATCCATCACATCAACAATACTATATATAAAGGTCCCAAAGGAAAATCCATCAGCAGTATCTCAGGTCACTATCTGCCAGATCCAGAGAATCCAGATGAGAAAAAGAAGTAGTCACACAATCCACAAATGTTTGTGGGACACTGCTGTGTGCAATTGGCTGCCATGTTTCGCCCACAAAATGCACAATCAATCCATTTCACAATATATTCTGCAAAGCGCTTTGGGACATCTCAACAACAGGATTAGGCGCTATATCAAATGCAAAGATTATTATTATTATTAATAAATCCAAGCCCGAAATGATGCCAATAATGAATCTGAAGATTCCACTTCTAAAAATCTCAACAACCAGAGAATGTTGGCAACGCAAGTCACCTTACTGCCCTGACTGGTACTCTCTTAACATTAGTTTGTCACACCAAGAGATTGTTGAATGGAACAAATCCATTCAATGGCACGGTCGCGATTAGCATGAACTTGTACGAAACTTTGGAAGGCACACACTTTACTGCACTGTTCTGTTTGTTAAATGGATAACAACAACAACAAATTACATTTTGTAGCTCCTCTCATGTCGGGATAATATCCCGAGGTGCTGGATATAATCTTGGATTTTAGTATGTAACTACAACTTGGAAAATAGCTTTATTAAAATTCATCCCAAAATGCTGCACGCTGTTTTGCGCTGAGGTGGCTGGGCCAACAAGTGAGGCTACAATCGATTTCAGTCACGAGCCTGACCACTCGCCAGCGGCCCCAATTGGATATGCTCCTGAATGAACTTTGGCTGAGGCCAGCATTGGGCTTAATAAATTTATTTCAGTGGAAACTTCCAAGTTTCTTTGAAATAAATCTTGATCTATCAACTCACTGTTGGAATGAACAGCACTAAATACAGCGGTTAAGATCCACGGACTGGCAAATATAAGTGTACAACAGTTATACCAGAGGAAATACAAAATGTGTGCACATATACTCTGCTGGCCAGCCACAGCTCCACCTCCCCAGGCACCCGTTCCCACCTGCCTGTGCCCACAACCCTCCATCCGGACATCCTGCCTCTCACCGACCTGCCAGACATCTGTCAGTCACTCCCCTGCATACACATAGTCTGTGGGATGACAATATGAGGTGCAGCATATTTCTTACCTCAGACAGTTTATACGGCAGAATCAGTCTGTCTCCTACTGTCACAGTCTTCCTGGTCGTCAATGCTTCAAACAGCATCTCGTCTTTTACCTAATTAAAGCAAAGCACCGTTCATATCAAAGGATTACTGAGACTTTCCCATTCAAAATGATTACAGTGTTTAGGATTATGGCTCCTGATAACTGTTCTGCGAAATGCAATAGCTTAACCTTTGCAGTTTGATCATGGATCAAGAGACTGGACACATTTAATTTCTTTCCTTTGTTTATAGTAGAATAAAACCTCCAGTTTTCAAGAAATACATTAACCCCTTAGGCACAAGTTACAATTGTATAAGAAGCTTCACTACAAAAATAGATAAGTACAATTATTAAACTGCTTTGGGTTAAAACTGTTTTTACCATTTAATAATTAATGTAGATAGAAAGTAAAAGGCAACCCCGGTCTAACTGGCAAAAGCTTAAGTCATTTTCCTGGGATTAGTTGGTAGCTCTTTCAAAGAGCCGGGACAGGCACAATGGGCCGAATGGCTTCCTTCTGTGCTGTAAATTTCTATGACTCTAAATGGTTTAATGCGTCATCTGCAAACGTGCATCATGTGTCAACAAGTGCAACATAACTACTCAGGGAAGAAGTGGGAAGATACAGTTTAAGCTGTAATTGATATCACAATGAATTTGGATGAGGATACGCCCATCAACAAGCCAGTATTGTACCAGCAGCTCATCAATACATACAGACATTCAAGGTTGCACCACCTTCACTGAACTGTATGATTGCAGACTGCCGATAACCAATTATTATGTTATGTGCACAATTGCAGCTTGCAATGTTTTGGCAAATTTCCTAAAGGCGTCATGTATAATGCACACCCTGGTCAGAGGAAATTTGCCGGAGGGGAGTGCACACCAAACAACATGATAATTCATAACTTGTAAGAAAAACTTAATCCCTGGTTAATTCCATCTAATTATAAAGGCATTAGATTTTTTATAATTGTGGGTGGTAGTAAATGTTAGGAAGGTTGGTAATAATAATAATCCTTGCATTTGATATAGCGCTTTTCACATCGGGAGGACGCCCCAAAGAGCTTCACAGAACACATTGTAAAGTGAATTGACTGTATATTTGTGAGCGAACGCGGCAGTCAATTGCGCACAGCAATGTCCCACAAACAGTCGTAGATTAAAAATGACCAATTTATTATTGTTTTTGGTTTTGGAGGGATTATTATTAGGCTTTGTGTGGAGTAAGGAAACTTGCCCAAGGTTTTGCCCTCTGCCTGGAATTGAACTCAGGTCTCTCGCTTGCAAAGCGAGTGCTCTAACCACTGAGCTACAGGACTCCACAAACCACCCTCATCTGGTTTCTTGCCATATCCACTTCTACTTAAGTGTGAATCAGGAATAGCAGGACAGTGAGTTAGTTTGAATTCCAATGATCTGGTTGTGCATAAAATAGGCATTGAGGTACCACCACCAAATTCTAAAAGTTCTCCAGAGCATGTTTAAAATTCCCTGTATTGTTTCAATTCAGATTTGAGCAGCCGGTAAAACAAAATGGTTGTTTTCTGTATTTACAACATAATTGCTGTGCACATATTGGCTGCCATGTTCGCCTATAAATACAGTCACTATACTTAAGAAGTAAAAGCCCTGTGAACTATTTTGAGATGTCTTGAAGACGCAATAATGTGTTATATCAAATGCAAGGATTATATTTTAAAAAATATATTTTTAGGCGTCTGTTTTTTCTTTTTTTTAAAAAAAATGAGAAAATCAAAGAAAAATTCCACAAAACAAAGGTAAATTCAGTTCAACAACAACAACAAGATTCCATTTATAGAGCGCCTTTCACGTCAGGAGGACGTCCCAAGGCGCTGCACAGTTGCGTCATGACCCGAGCAGGGGGGAAATGGTCAGGGTGAGGGGAGGGAAGGGAGGGAGAGAGGAGGGGGGAAATGGTCAGGGTGAGGGGAGGGAAGGGAGGGAGCGAGGAGGAGGAAGAGAGTCGAGAGGAGTTCAGCATTGTGTTTGGAACATTCGCTTATTTTTCCTCACCCGAAACGTGTTTGGTTGCAATGTTGGTGCCAGGAATACGCAGATAAACATGTTCCAGCATTTCATGTGCAGCTGGAAACCTGTCTTCCAGTATTACTAGTACCACAAATATGTTCACAAAACCATAACTGTGTGTGCAATACTGGTGTATTCACAGGATCGGGTTTTTGTTTACCTTCATATTCCCAGAAAACACCATTGCAGATAAACATGATTCACAATGCAAGTGCACAATAATAACAACAACCCTCACATTTTGTATAGTGCCTTGCACTTTGGGAGGCGCTGTCAACGCACTTCGAAATATGCTGTTCCACAGTAAAGTGTAGTGACTGGAGAATTCGAAACACAATCATGGACACTCAAAAAAAATGCTAATTTATTTTTAAAATATTGAATTAAGGTGAAAATAGTTCACCAATGGACTTTCACTGAGAAAAAACAAAGTTAAAAAAACTAATTTAATGGACGTTAAAGATGATACAGTACCTCCAGGAGTTCGGAGACAATGGGTAGCACCTCAGGGTTACAAATGTCAATGGAATCATCCCGAAAGGTCTTTCTCTTGTACTTTATGTTCCCAAGGTGTAGAATTGCAGACAGAAGAGAAAATATCCTGTAAGGAAAATTATAGTTCAAATTAAGAGTAAACTAACTGCATTCTAGAGGTTATAAAGGCAGAAGGACAGAAACAAATTAATGACAAGACACCCAGTTGGAAAAAAACAAAATAAAACACCAGCGCAGACTTGATGGGCCGAGTGACCCGATTCTATGAATATGTTCTATGAACAGAATAAACCAGTCATTTTCTCATACCTGCTATTTCAACATGTATTCATCATAAACTCATCCTGCTACACCATGATGCCCTCCCTCAACCCAACCCTGCCCACCGCCCCACCCTCGGGTCCTGATCCCTTAAACTTTATTTCAGATACTTCTGCAGGTTGATATGTTCAATACCAACACTGCATGACCTAACTGCTGTCATGATCTAGTTATGCCAGTCTAAAGGCTGCTCGTTGACCTGTTGTGTTTCAGGACAATGTGGCACTGTGCTGCCATGCAAACCACACACAAGCAGATGGAGTCAGATTCAGCTTCACGATCACATGGTGGTTCACCTCGTAACTCAGCTGAGAAAAATCACAATGTCGGGAAGACGTCCCAAGGTGATGAACAGTCAGAGATCAGGACCCGAGGGTGGGTGGGCAAGGTTGGATTGAGGGAGGGCAGAGGAGGTAGGAGGGTGGTTGAAGGCGCAGTCAAAAAGGACGGTCTTGAGTTGTGCCTTGAAGGAGGCAAGAGAGGAAGCAAGACAAAGGTTTCCTTACTGCACACGGCTGATAATAATCCCTCAAAAAAATAATAAATGGGTCATTTCAATCCACGACTGTTTGTGGGACACTGCTGTGTGCAATTGGCTGCCACATTTCGTCCACAAATATACAGTCAATTCACTTTACAGTATTCTGTGAAGCGCTTTGAGAAGTCTAGAAGATGTGAAAAGCGTTATATGCAAGGATTATTATTATTATTAATAAAGGGATTGTGGGATGGAGTTCCAAAGAGTGGGGGCAGAGAGGCTGAAAGCGCAGCAGACAATGTTAGGGTGGGTCAGGCGGGAGACCTGGAGCAGGCCGGAGCCTGCTGAGCTGAGGGAGGGGACAGGTTGATAGGGGATCACCAGGTTAGAGGTGTAGGAGGGGGCAAGGTCATGGAGGGCCTTGAAAGTGAGGACGAAGATTTTGAATTCTAATGTTTGAATGTTTTGTGCAGGACAACACTTGTGCTGCGTGCAGACTCATGCAACCTCGACAGAGAGCCAAGGACTTGTGAGATTGGGTGACATGCATTCTGCAGGGCATTTCCCTGCAGAAAACAGCAGTTTATACCACAATGTGCTTCTCCAGTGGCAAGGCATCAGTTATGCCACCATTTATTTAATCCGTTGTTTAACATAATTTAGTGAATGAAATCTAGCGATAACCTTTTCTGCATTGTATGTGTGTGCGCACGTGTGTGGGGGGGTGGGGGGGAATGGTATCCTTGGGAGCTTCCACTCACTGTTTACGTGTCTTGGGCAGGAATCCGACCATTTCCATTGCCAGTTGCAAGCGCTCAAAGTCATGCTTGAGATCCTCCCCCTCCACTGTGAAGCTGTCCTGCTATATTCAAGAAAAGAAAAATGGATGAGCAACATGATTATAGTGGAAATTAAACACTTCTCATTGAAGTTAAAAGTTAAAATACTGAGTGCAGTCAGTTTACACCCAGGTCTGTTTTATGGCACCCAGTAATTCAAGGAGAGTAATCTGATAACAGTCTGATTTCTGTTTCTCATTGCCTAAAAGTTCTGCAACTGGCTGACGTACTTCTGGTGCCAACACATTACCCACCAGAATCTAGGTATGAAAATATTTGATTTAAATCTCGGCCATTAGATTAATTCCATGATAGAAAGGTGTTAAACTGTTATTGTTATGATGCAATTGCCTGCACATTTATTATTCTCATACCCGATATTGTGTATTAATTAACATCACAATTTTGAACAACATTTTGCACAACATGGTGATGCTGTTATTAAAAATAGTCAAAGACAGATTCTGTGAAAGCTATGGAAGCCAGTGGCAGAATAGACATGCAAAACAGAAGGTAACTCAGTTGGAAGCACCTTCCTGCATCTCGCCACACTTGTGCAGAAACGCACTTGTGGATTGCAGATGAGTATTGCAACTCAGTGAGAGACCAGCAAGATTGGCGAGAGAGGTAAGGCAGGCTGATAACCAAACCAAATTCATGCTGAATCTGACCCACATTCCCAGCAGCTATTAAAACAAAGTTGATGCAGTTAAACAGAAGATGCTGCAACAGCACAAACAGGCAACAGGCAAATGCTGTCTTTATTTGGTCACTTCTGTAATAGAAATGAATAGGTAATGCTAAAGTCACTGCAAATGACCCTTTTTAATCACAATAGACTTTGGTGCAGTAGGATGCTGAAAACCAACTTCATTAATTTTTTTTACAGGAATTCACAAAATGAGGAAGCCCCATAGTTAAGGCAGGTAGTTAATTCCCACATGTAAATGAGCAGTACAAAAAGTGGAGATTGCAAACCTCGACTTAATATTCAGGCCAATTGAAACCTTCAAAACAAGACGGTCATGTTTTGCAAAGTACATGAATAACTCCTTGCACCAATTTTGTGTCAAGGAAACTCTCTGTATTTTACAGTGGTCAACTTTGTGGTTAGCACATGAATGCAACCAGCCTTTACTTTTTCTGGTGCTCACAAACAGATAAAAGATGAAGCCTACAAGCCAATCAGCTGGTCATATTCAGTGACAGGTTAAATTGAAGTTTTACCGAAAAACGAAACTAGGGAGATTGGCTAAAGTCTGTCCAACGCTGTTAGTCATCATTTGTGGCTGTATCTAACTAGAATGCTAACAGCGGATGTCAAAGTATTTTCTTTCTAGCTAACTTTCAGTAGCCAGTCCTGGAGTAGCTAGTCAGATCTAATTCTAAAGACAATACTTTTGGTTTCATGATTTTCCAATCTGATTTTTCTTTGTATACATACAAAGTACTGCATCCATTAGTGACTGGGCAACTGGTAATGTCTGGCAGCTCATGTCTTAGTGACATGAATTTGTCGTAATTTACCCAGATCTTTACTGACGAGATTTCAAAACTATTACAGGAAATGACCAAAAAGGATCAAGGACAGCGAGCATTTAACCACAGGGAAAGCAGTTTGTTCCAGTGGTAGTGAAACATCTGTTCTGAAGTGTTAGACTGAACCTTATTCAGTAATCATGGAATTGTAGAAATGACAGCATTGGAGGCCATTCAGCCTATTGATCTCAGACCTAAATCTGGGTTTATCACCACTTGAACAAGCAGCAAGACTGGCTTTACAAAGAGAGAAAATCAAATGGAACTTTTTTCCAGTTAGAAATATCAAGTAATGATAATGAAATCCCAATTATTGGTGCTGGGAACCCGGCAACTTTTGATTGCTTTCCTTGTGGATGTCCAGTGATGGGTCACAGTCTCACCACTGACAGCACAAAACTCAAATACTAACCGGCTCTGAATCATAGTAATAATCATCCCAAGTCTTTCTGTATGGGCTCTGAGTCATCTGAGAAAGCAAGGTAAATGGTGTTAGGAAGCACTTGACTAAAACAGCCTCGCTCCCTCTCTCCTCTATTGGACAGATCAGCATGTGTGCTCAAGCAGTGAAACCCAAAGAAAGCCAGCTTCACACTCAAAAATAATCCCTCACCTTTATCTAACCTAGCAAAGATCTACTAGAAAAAGCTCTAAAACAATGTGTGTATAAGTGTGCAAACTCTGAGAAGTGTAGTTTGCACCCACATGTAACTGGTGACCAATTATTCCATGAATTTTCCTTTTTATTTTAATTAGAAGGAGAAATTAGTGTATTTGTTTGCGCTTGTGTTGCTCATGTGAAGACTTCAGTAACAAAAGGTTGTGTTTATATAGCTCCTTTCATGTAAAAGAATGATTCAAGGCCCTTTACAAATGGAATGGTGAGTTCCACAGGGAATGAGAGACTGAAAGTCATCTAACACCCACCCCACCGACCCAACCCTTCCCAAATCCAACCCCCAGATCCAGTGCAAACTCTCCAATGTCCAGCACCATGGCAAGTCCTCCTGACATGAAATATATATATTTCTATATAAATGCAATTTGTTGCCGTTTGTTTATATTGCAGTAAAGTATAAATAGAAATATCTGGTGTCTGCAAAACATTTTTTTATATACTCTGATAAACATTACCACATTATACATCACCTAATTTGTGCTACTCCCTTGGCTGCAGTAATGGTAATTGACTATGATGTTTCAGAAACCCAGATGGCTGTTGCTGAATGCATGTGTTTGAAATTGCAGGATTAAAAAAAACACACTAGGTCCTTTGGCAACTGGTTTGAGCCTATTTGGGATCCATTGTCTAGACCCACTATTAGTTGCTCATGCAATATCTGGGGCCTAACCACTCACTGTCTGACCTGGACAGCTAACGCATCGGAGCAACTATAGCAAGAGCATCTTTTAGTAACATACAGCAAATCAGGGTGGAAAATTACTGCACATTAGTGCTGAAAGTAAACAGGAACAGAAGCACAGAAATCAATATAATACATAAATTAATAAAATTGAGCCAAACTTGGTTTTAACATTTGTAAGCTTGTTTTTAAATTATTAAGGTCCTTATTAAGGTAATCCGCAGCAATGTTAAACATCTAAAAAAAATTAGCTTTCAGTTACATCAAGTACTTTCATTGTTAAGACTGAAGACTTGAATTGCACACTTTGTACGTGACAATCCTAGGCGTTGGTGGCTTCATCCCCTCCTTTGATTAGTGGAAATACTGCTTCTTGTTAAGATATAGACAAAGCCAAGCATTTGTATTAGTCCACAAGCTAGTTATCAATTTAAATACCAGTAACATTGCGTCTGAGTTAAAATCAGCTTTCAAAACATCTGTAAGAATGGTATACTGTAGCCTCCTACTCCTGTACAATATCAAGTAATATTACAGCTGAACCTAACATTTATTTTTAATTTTGTGTGATTTGGCTTCAGAATCCTCCTATTTTTCGAAGGTTTTGTAGTATTAACTCTAAAGCAATATTATTATAGAATCATCTTTCTTATCTTTGCTGGATATTCCTTACCCTCTTCCCCCAAAATAAGTATCTCTATTTAGCGAGCACTCACTTCCACTCAAATTCTGACTTTTCATCCCCGTTGCACAGGAAATGCTCGTCACATTGCTGGGAAAGTGGATGTGTTCAGCCTATTGTACCAACACATGATTTGAACTCACTCACAGCATTGTCTGAAATAACTAAATCCGCACCGCAACAAAGGGACATTGTGTGTGTGATCTTTCGTACGTACTGCGCCCACAGAACATGACGAGATTCATCATCCCTGTAATGCATTGCTTGGAATGGGGAAATTGGAACGTTGAATTTTAATATCTTCAGGATTTACGGTGCCAATGAAGCTCAGTTTGCTTTTAAACATCCAAAAATAGCAGTACATCCAATATATGAAGGCCTCACTATTTACTTTAATATATAACATCTAACAGGCATTGAACCCATCTCTGTACATCATCTGGCTCATGGATCCATTTTGCCCCACTCCCCCAGCTGTGACCAACTCCACTCTCCCACTGTTTCTAGATGGAGATTGGTGCTCTCACTCCTACCAAACTCTGACTTGTTGCTCATAAGAAGGAAAATATTACTTTTTATGGTTGTGAATTGTTTCTGAGGATTCATAGAGCACTAAAATTTTGTTAATGTAGTTATAGGCTTTAAATCCATTAAACAGACAAATCATTATAATCAGAAACATTATAATCACAGACGGAACTCATTGACAACACCAGTGCTATGGGGAAGGTGGGAAGGATTGAGGATTTTTAGTATGAAATCAGAATGCACCAGAATATTCATTGCACTGAACTCACTTGGTTCAAGTAGTGGTATTCCTCCGGCTCTAGGAGATGGAAGCTCTTTTTCTCTTCTTCACTGGCTCCTGCCAGCAGGTAGTAGAATACATGGTAATTCCTGGAACAGAGAGGCTTGTGAGATCCAACACTAGAACACCATGCTAAGTCTTATCCACTAACTAACCACAAGGCATCAACAAGGAGTCCTGTAGCTCAGTGGTTAGAGCACTCGCTTTGCAAGCGAGAGACCTGAGTTCAATTCCAGGCAGGGTGAAACCTTGGGCAAGTTTCCTTACTCCACACACCTAATAATAATCCCTCCAAAAACCAAAAACAATAATTAAATTGGTCATTTTTAATCTACGACTGTTTGTGGGACATTGCTGTGCGCAATTGGCTGCCGCGTTCACCCACAAATATACAGTCAATTCACTTTACAGTGTGTTCTGTGAGGCGCTTTGGGACGTCCTCCCGTCGTGAAAAGCGCTATCTCAAATGCAAGGATTATTATTATTATTATTATAATGTGAAGTTATGAACTAACAAAATCAGTTAGGCCAAATATAGAACTCATATACAACATTCTTGGCCCCTCCCCACCCTGCCTCCCCCCGCCCCACCACCTGCCCAGTGCTCTTACATTATATTTAACTGACTGAATTTTGGGGTGATTACTCACAATCTGTGGGTGATTGAGCGCTTTGATATTATGTTGGAATCCCTAACTGTCCAGTACTTTGGGACGTCCTCGAGACGTGACAGGCGCTATACAAATGCAATTTGTTGTTGTTCTTTTATAAGGTAGCCATGCATTGCTTGAGGCTTCCTGTTTTTTTCACATTCAGTACCAAACGATCAAGGTCAAACAAATAATTTGAATTGCTATGTGTCCAGTCAAGGAAAACTAATAACCAACCTCATGACACATAGTTACATAGATTATGCTGGGTATTGAGTTATACATGGAAGGGGGGGGGGCTGATGAAGGGATTATCACTCAAGGTAAACACAAAACAGTAAGCATGAAACCCAGGACAGTTCAGGAACTCGGAAAAGTCCATCTGTGGAGAACATAGCAATTCCCAAGTGTACTCCAAATCAGACTGTCAGAATTTATATTAATGGGCAAATTGCATACATTTATTAGCGCTAGTGACATTAATAATTTTTCTAATGAAGTATACAACATCTCTGTTTCCACATAATGACCTCCACGTATCCTAAGAAAGAAAATTACCAGCAGACTCAACAGGAATCAAGATACTTTGCAATTCTGCATCTAAGTCTCTTTTCCAGCATGTAAAGTTGTTGCATATTTAACATTTGTTAAGTTACCTCTCCCCTCCTCACTGAAACTAAAAAAATTAATCAAAAAGTAATTTCACAGCTTTCTCCCCAATGACTTACTGGTTTCATTAGTAAGATAATAATAGAGGATCATCAATGTCAGTTTTTTATAGAACAAAACAAATGATCTTTTACATCAATCTTTAAAATCTCATTCTTTAGCCTCAGCAAAATTGTCCAGTGAAGAGATTGATCAAACAGAATGGGAAGACCACAAGTCAATAATAATAATCTTTGTATTTGATATAGCGCCTTATCATGTCTTCGAGAAGTCTCAAAGTGCTTCACAGAACATACTGTAAAGTGAATTGACTGTATATTTTATGGGCGAAATGCGGCAGCCAATTGCGCACAGCAGTGTCCCACAAACAGTCATGGACTGAGTGACCACATTTTAAAAAAAATTTAAATGGATTATTACCATCAGAAAAGCAATCCGTCAATTGACCAGTCTGATGACTATGTAAAAAAAAGCTTACCAAGGCCTTTAGCTTGCAGGGTTAGCGGACACCGAGTAGGAAAACTCTATGCTCTCAGCGACTGGTCTGCTCTTCCAAATCCCACTAATGAGCCAAGCCAGCTAGTCCATCAACTATGCCCTGAACTGTTGTGGTCCTCCTGGCTCAGTCTACAGCCACAGAGGATCAATCCAATTCTGACCTTAAATTGCTGGGCAGCTCATCTTGGTGCCAACTCAGTCCCAAAGAGACCTGCCAACTTCCCCAGCTAGGAATATGGTACAGTTGGTCATTAGACATGTGACACTCACAGTTTTGAGCCCTCTCACCATAGACAGCTTGTACCAGGAATTTCTCGTCACACCAGGAGCAGTGCAACAGTATAAAATGTGTGACAGCATTGACATTATCCTCTTACTTATAGCCTTGAAACGCAACCCTATCCGTTTAACTCCCCTCTCCACTACCTCCTTCCCTGAGGATAACCACTTGTTGGTTATTAAACATCTAACATCGCAGGTTAGCTTATCTAACTACTCCCTAAATTGGATATGCTGAGCATAATTCTAGCCCAATTACTTCTCCATCAGAGATCAGTGAACTCAGCAACCGTGAAAAGAAACAAATCCTTTTCAGTCATAAGCAATTTTATAAAGAACTGCCTTAAGGCAAATCATCCAATTTCAATATCAAAATGGAGCATTGCTCTATTTAAAACATGATACATTTTCATTGATCATAGCAGTATAACAGAAACCAATGGGATATGATCATAATGATAGCTAATTAATTGGTTCCTAAAATACTATAACGATCTTACCGTTCATTGTGCTCCTGATAGACCAGCCTAGACTTCTCCAGCAGGTACTTTTCAACATAAGCCCTGAAAATTAACAGAAATAACATCATTTTTTATACCTAGGGAATCTTAACAATCACACTGCACAACAACCATTTCATGGCTCAGTTGGTAGCACTCTCATCTCTGGGTTAGAAGGTTGGATTTCAAGCACCCATGTCAGGACTTTGAACTTACAATACACACAATACTTGGGGAGCATGGTTTTAATAACGCCCTTTGGAGGAGACATTGAACCAAGGACCAGTGTATCTGTTCATGTAGACATTAAAAATCCCATCAAACTATTGGAAAAGAAAAGGAAGTTTCTCCAGGTGTCATGGCCAAAAATTCTACAGATTAGTTGGACACTCATTTCATGGCAATCTGTGGGTCCTTGCTATGTCCAAATTGCTGCCTACATATATATCATCATTACAAGTGACGGCAATTACTTGTGAAGCATTTTGAGACATAGCAGGTACTACATTAAAATGCAAGGATGACTCAATGAAGAATCTGCACCAAAGGCAGGAACTCAAATTCAAACCCCAGGCCTAGATTTCTCTCTGGATCGCTTGGGTCATTCAGAGACTATCAATGGCTGCCTTACAAATGACGTATCTGGGACAGCAAAAACAAACCAAGGACATTCTTATTTCTTCTTACGGACACTGAATAATGGCATAGGAAGACAGCACTATTGCCCCTTCCCAACCTAATGACAATGCATAGTGGCAAGTGGATGTGGGGGAAAAATAAATCTAAAAGAACAATTGCAGACAGCAAATTAACCAAACATCTGGTTTTCATTGTTTTTGATTTAAGATACCTTTAGACAGATTATATACAGAGGTTTTTAAACGGTGATTTCACTGTGCCAACTATCTGAAATCAATTATACATACAGCAAGAATCACAGATTCCTTTCTTTACTGTATGTTATCTCATTTCTCTCAGGGACCTGGTTAACAATTCCCCAAGTAAATTTGGTCATTCTCTTGGCTCTTTGGAGAATATTTGTGTGTACAAATTGGCTGACTGTTCAACAAAAAATACAGTCACTACACTCGAGTACAATCCTGTGAAGCTCTTTGAGACATCTTCCCAACATGAAAGGTGCTACATCAAATGCAAGGATAATCACCATCTTCTATATGATGATTCAGAACAAGTATAACATAAAACAAGCAATTAATATCACTGGTCCTTCTTCTCCTTTGCCCCCATGCATTGATTCATTTGCAAATGTCACTAATAAGCAGAGTATTTGACCTTTTGAGTGGGGCTCTACATTCAAGCTCTTAGACCCTTCTAACATTTGCAGTAGACATACTTTCCAGGAGAGGTCAGTGATAAATGATCTGAGGAGCAGGCACCCTACTCTGATTTCCAATTCTGCCCAACCTTTAGAGCATTTAGGGTGATTTCATTGCCCTGATATGGCCTTGCCTTTGACCAGACAAACTAACAAAGACTGCTATTATACTTTAGGACACCCAGAGTTGAATGGTACACTGAAGAATGGCTGAACCCATTGAATCATTGAAAGAGCCTTGCCTGGTTTAAAATCACTATATGGGAAAGGGGTTAAAGTGGTTATCCTGGCTTTCACCTTTCATCAGAAACAGAATGACAAAAGGTAAATCACTCCAGAAATGTTCCACACGTGCTTCATCACATTTTCTGGACAAATCCCCAAGAGGCAAAACTTTAATCTTGCCAAAGCTGGGCTTAGTTCTGTCAACTTGGCTCAGCTAGTCCCACTTGTGCTTCCGGGTCACAAGGATCAAGTACTGGTAGAACGTTGGTTTGTTGGGAGTCACTGACTCAAACATTTGCAACCACCAGCCCACGCTGCTGCAATCGGTCCACAAATCTGCAAACAGATGTCCCTTCATCTGCTACTCACCCACGCACAGTGCCAGTCTCTTGATAGTTCACTTGGATGAACTTCCCGAACCGACTGGAGTTGTTATTGTGAGCAGTCTTTGCATTTCCAAAAGCCTGTTGGATTAAAAAAGAGGGGTTCAGAAACCCTTAAATAATGCATCTTTGTCCACCCATGTATATGATTTTAGGTATCAACTGGCTCAATTGGTGCCCCTCTTGCCTCTGAGTCAGAAAGTTGCAGATTTATGTTCCACGTTGGGAATTTGAGTTCATAGTCTACAACTTAGATTCTGGGCTGACACTATGTAGTGTCGTGGAAGTACTGTATTATTGGAGGTGCTCTCCTTCAGACATGATGCAAAACTGTGGTCCTGAGATTGGTCAACCATCAATGGTTCCTTGGATTAAAGCAGACCTGCCTGGATTTAACAGGCATGTTCCCTCAGAGCCAGTTCAAACATAGGGAGGACCTTTAAGAAGGTAACTTTTACACATGGCACCCCATTTTATCAACCTCAAACAGGTGAGCCCAATGGGATTCAAATTCCAGAACCTTCCAGTGCTAAGTTCAGCTCCCCAGTATGTTGCACGGCAGTAAGAATTAGTCTTAAAATGATGTGAATACCAGGAGTTGCGTCATTACTGAAGCATTAAGCTCTAAAATAATTGACAGTCACCACTCCTCTTACTCTAGCACCAGTAAGCACCTCCCTCTGTGGCACTGGATGAGTTAAATGTTTTGGGGAGTTTGGGGAAAATAGAATTGAAAAGACAATGCAGCCGGGCAAAAGAAACAGGTCTCCAGAACTTTACAATCGTCTTGAGAACAACAGAAAGATACATGGCCCTGTCCTACATACTGCAGTGCTTCCTGCAGCCCTCAAAGAGCATTTTCAAAATACAACAGGCTTTGCTTCAGCTAAACCCTTTGAGCTCTTCAATTCGACCAGTCAGGAGGATGTGCACAGTGGTGTTCTGGTATTAACATTCATACTTGTTTCAAATTCCTCCTTCATCTGCTCAGCAGTTAGCACTTCCTGTGAGACTGACTCGGCCACGTATGCCACGAGAGAAGACTAGGAGCCCTGTCTCCACTGACTGTTATGAACAGAGAAGAAAGCGGCCTGCCCTGAGGCAAGAGAGGTTCTCTCACACACAGCCTCCTGGCATGTTCCATTACAAAACTGGAATGGTATGGTTGTATTTCTCTGTGTGACAAGCATTACTTTCATACCATGTTTATCCTTTTCTGACAAAATTGTCAGAAATTTCTGGCGTATATGTTAGCGATGTCATTTCAAATTGAAAGTGCCATTTGCTAGCGTGCATACTATCCTCTGTTGAACTTTCCTCGCTTTCCACCCAAGTTGTAAAGATGTCAATCTATGTACTTTTTCTCTTTCCTATGTGCTTTGCGACGAGTCTAGGAATTTAGGGGGTAGAAATTCCACCTGAATCTAGATTTACTATTATTTTCTTAGCATATGGAAGCATGCAGAATTTGCCAACTTGTTAAATTCTGTCTGAACTTTGAAAATGGTTTTACGTAATTCTTAAAAGAATCTAGAGTGGTTTAGCCTATCAGCAGAGATATTAGCAATTGGGAACAAAGAAGGTTGAGGGGTGACCTGATAGAGATCTTTAAAATGAGGTTTGATAAGAGTTGATATGGAGAAATTATTTCCACCGGTAGGGGAGTCAGCAACTCAAGGCCATCAATTTATGATAGTTGATAAACATGCAAATTGGAAGGTTGAGTGAATTTTTTTCACGCATATAGTTAGGATTTGAAACACCCCTACCAGGAATTGGTGGTTGAGGCAGAATCCACGTTGGGATTCAAGAGGAATGGAGACAAATGCCTTAAAAAGAGTCAGCCACAGAGCTATGGGGAAAGGCCAGAGGAATGGGACTAAAAGGATTGATCTTGAGGGAGCAACTTGCATTTATACAACACTCTGAATGGTGCTTATGGAAGTGTAAATTATTTATTTCTTTTTAGAAAAAAAAGCAAGTGCTGGAAAGCTGAAATAAAAATTTAAGATGCTGCAAATCCACTGAAGGTCAATAAGCAGGTGAAGGAGAAAATGGGTTAAAATTTTGGGCAAAAACCTTAGTTAGAAGTCATACCTGAAATGGTAGCCTATCTTTCTCTTTTAGTTCCTGATTGACCCTCCGTGGATCACTCTGGGTTTGTAATTAGTTTTTAAGTTGTGCTCAGCCAATATAGATGAAATCTTTTTCATAAATTCAAATAAACTAATTTTGAATTGGAGGCAACAATTAACTTGATTGCCACATTTTGTATATTCACACAGGGGTCAAAAATTCAGCATTCACAAATGAATTAGCCCCAGATTGGCATATATCATGCCAACCCAGTCCTGATGCAATCCAATGTAGATTTGCTAATTCTAGTCAACTCCAGTTACAATATTATGATTTTGACGCCACTGGGAACAATTCCATCAATTCTACATTCATTCATTTAAAATGTGTGTGTGTAGGGGGTGGGGGGGGGAGGAAGAGGGAGTGCTATGGGTTTTTTTCCACTATGATATTCACTGCTGTTGTGTCATTTGTAGTCAATGTACCGTGCAACTGCCAGGACTGACCATCAACAAAATCGAACTGCGCAAATATAAAATTAAGCATTAATTACAGAATTTGCGTGCCTTGGAACAGTTCTTGATTGAACTGCATAAAGCAGCAACTCAGTGTATGTGTGACATCAGTGTGATTCATAGTTTTTTCTCCCTCCTATTTAACACCCTCCTTGCCAAGTTGTGTGCATTATTGTGAAGCACCTTCCTGAGGGAATGTCTCCAGTTTGCACTCTTCTGTTTGCTGCTGCAGCTGACCTCCAGTATTTTTAAATTCATTTTTCTATAGTTTATGGAGCTGCATCTGTTTCATGTTTTCCCCATTCACAGAATGCCATACAGATGAGAAACTGGCTGCACTGAAAGGCCAGGCGGCAGAGCAAACCTAAATAGAAGACTGGAAGCACTAGGTTGCAATATGTGATAATCCCTGTAAACTCCTCTCCATTATCATGGAATGTTTGTATGACCAAAGCTGCCCAAACTCTGACATCTCTTTGTTAGTTTGAAGAGATAAATAATACATTACAAACCAAATTGAATCATTTATGAATTTAGAAGGGGAGTGATTTCTTCTTTCCTGACTTCTTCTTGTTTACCCAGTACAAATCCTGTGCTAAAGCTCCCTTCAGTACCATAGGAAGTCTGTATATGTGTGATGGGGCAGTGGCAAGGAAACTTGGGTCAGGAGTGGCCAGGCTGCATCTTTTGTTGATTGCCCCTGTACCTCTCTGATTGCACTGGTGCTACATGAGACCTGCCAGGATGACAGTAACTTGCTCAAACAATGTCCTATCCCAAGGAATGGCAATTCCAAAAGCTGCACATGCAGGTCCACAGGGAATGCTGAAATTCATGCACATCTGAACAGCAGAATGCCTTGAGCAGCTGTTCTGTTTCCTGCTCCATGTGGACTGCTGCAATAGCTCAGTCATTTCATTATCCATGGAAGGGGGGAGGGGGAAAAATCCTTTCAAAGCACTAGTATTTAAGGGAATGGGGACTCATATTTTGTCAGAACCCAGCAAAGATATTTATAAAATATTAATCATGGAATGAACATCTGTATAAGAGGTTTTTTTTGTCATCACAATGATTCTATAGAAAGCGGCCAGGAAAAGGTGTGAATACGGATGGACGATCACAGCTAGAAAAAGCACTGATTATCTGATCTCTGGAGAATCTGTGTTTTCTCCAATTGGAGGCAGCAGGCCAAGTAAAACAAGCATTTCAGCTTTATGGTCATTGTTGTTTCTATAGTTTCACTGCTCTTGATATAATAGCCCCCGTTAACATAGTGTGGTTCATTCACAATTCATCCAAAATAAACTATGCATTCCCAGCCTTAACTTCACTCGTAAAGAACATGCTCTGCACGTCTGCAGATAACTGCTAATTTAAGCTAATTACATGCATCTCTTGCAATGACAGAATGTACATGAAACACACAGCTATTTGCAGTGAAGTGTTTTACGAGGATACAAGTCCAACACTCATTCTAAAGGATAGAGGGATTAGCAGATAAAGGGAGAGGGCAGGTAAATGGAATTAGGTTAGAAGATCAGCCATGATCCTATTAAATGGCAGGACAGGCTTGAGGAGCCGAATGGCCTACAACAACAACAAGATTTCATTTATAGAGTGCCTTTCACGTCGGGAGGACGTCCCAAGGCACTGGACAGTTGGGTCGGGACCCGAGCAGGGGGGAAATAGTCAGGGTGAGGGGAGGGAAGGGAGGGAGCGAGGAGGGGGTAGAGAGTCGAGAGGGGAGCTGAAGGCACAGTCAAAGAGAAAGGTCTTGAGACCGGCCTTGAAGGAGGAAAGGGAGGAAGCAAGGCGAAGGCACTAGGTGATGGAGTTCCAGGCCTACTCCTGTTCCTACGTCTTATGGTCTTATAGGGGAAGATATAATGATACAGCACGGGGATGTTGGCATATCATGAACAATTAGGAAGATAAATATTGGTGGAGACCATTTGAACATGGAGACACCCACCATGTATTGATGAAATGGAAGAGGCTAAATGGGCTTAATGCCCTCCTCCTGTTGCTGTATTCCTAACACTGGTCGTGTGGCTCCTATTACAGAGCACATCATCTACCCAAAAGCTCAGTGCACACCGCACAAAACGGAAAGTACTACAAAAGGGACATTAACCTTATAAATATTTAACCTAATGATTTTAATGTTAAGTGACAATCACCACTTACGGTGCGCTTTTAAAGGTCCAATCTAAATAAGATGTAATTTAGTACGCCTCTACAGCCTACCTCGCCAGGGAAAACATGGAACTCTGAAGCAATGAATAAGGATAATGAGTCTTTGTACAAGCAAAAGTTTGCCTGGGACCCTAGTGTCACTTGTGGGAAATTCTATAACTTGCATCTTCAAAAAAAGGATCTTAAAGGAACCAATGCCTTTTAGACTGCCGAAATATTAGCCGATACTCTCATCTGTAAACTTTCATTCTTCACACGTTTTTAAATGTAGGAACATTCATGAGGCCCAGC